TTTTCCCAAACTAATACACGAATACTCCGTCCCGTATCGTTCACAAACCGACTGTCATCAGTTCCCTGATTTAGAACACGTTCGCGACTAATTTTGAGTCCGCTTTTTTTCAAGTGATCCTCAATTCTTTGCCTGGTTGTGTCTTCACAAAATATCACAAAATCTTCTTTAATTGTTTCCATTGCAGAGGACTGTATCGTGTAAGACTGAGCTTGTCTCAATATGACTCAATTTATCTCCATTAATTAAATATCTATGTCACAACTGAATATACAGGTCGCTACACTCATTAACAATAGAAGAAGTCATTCGATTAGGGATGCTTTTTACCGCCTTTGATATCATAACAGCTTATCGACTATTTATATCTACAATGTAACCGATAGGCCATACAAATTTGAAATGTAAGCTTATCAGCCAGGTATACTTATAATTTAAACACTAGTTCCTTTTACAGTGGCGTGTCCAGACTTGTTTGCAGGGGAAAGTCCATGTGGAGAGATAACGTCACATTTTGCATTAAGTATTGGAGATTACCCGAGAATTTTTATAAAATCGGAAGCTCCCACTGCTATATTTCTTTTAGATGTATAAATCTTTAAAATGTGATTTCTATTTATATTTTGCAGGGGCAGTGAGTTCCGCAAGTCCTTTTCAAATTTAAAGACATTGCCAGCATTTTTTCCTGAAAAGTGGTACTTTAACATGTACTCCGATTAAAAATCTTCCAAGCATATTAGGGCTAAGAACCCCAACAATCTTACAGGAAAGTCCTGACAGATCAAATATATTCCTATCCGTTCAAAGCAAAGAGACAGAGCGTGATGTTCAATCAATCTATGAAAGTATATACATTAAAGAATGTGATCACCTGTATGCGGTAAAATCTGACTACCCCGTCATATTAATGTTTATACCACTTTTTTATATGAGCCAAGCAGCAGCCTACTTGATATCCCTGTTTGGCGAACAAGACATTACTAATTCTTTGTTCTCCATCTTATACTCCAATCAAGACAAGGCGGTAATAGATACAACAATCAAGTCTTTAAAAACTGTGAATCCCAGAATTCGTTTGATTCTTACAACATCAGTTGCCGGCATGGGATTTGATCCAATGTGCGTTGTACGCACAATTATGCATGTCCACCAAGGAGTGTGTTACAATACACAATATTTGCAGGAAATTGGGCGATCTGGACGACAAGGCCAACCATCTCAAGCCATTTTATTTTATAATAACCATGACATTTCAAAAAATCTTACTGGTATCCAGCAAGACATCATAGATTACTGTAAGAATATGGACAATAAATGCTTGAGGAAACTTTTGCTAACAGTGTTTGGATTTGATAAAAACAATACTATTCTTAGTTGCAAGTGTTGTTCTGTTTGCAAGACTACATGTGTACATGCCATGTGTACATGCCATGTGTACATTGACCTCTGTAATTCAATTAGGCGGAACGTTATTGCCTCAGTTGTCATCCAATTATTCCTACGCCGTCACGAAACAAGGGTCAATGCTACTTTTAGTCTTTCTCTCCCATTCGAATCCCCCTTTTGGATGACGATCTTTGTTATGGAAGGGTATCGCTGCCAATATTAAATGCTCTGCTAAAATATCTTTTCTATTGATTACGTGTAAAAAGTACAATGAACAAAGTCTTAATACCGGTAATGATAAAGTCAAATTACCTCTAAGGCCAAAGTTAAATGTAAAACGCCAATAATGCAATGTGTCAAATGTCAATTTTTTTTATTGGAAAATGCTGTTTTTGACGTGTCTACTTTTGACATTTCCCTCATCACATTTTACATTTGCGTTCTGTCGCATCTAAATTGTCCTTCACGCTTTCTACATAACATCTTAAGCAGAAACCAAGTAAAGTTTGATATATGCAAATGTAAGATATCACGTGACTTAACATATACAGGTCACAATTCTATGGAATACAATTACTGCTTTTTACTGAGCGACGTTTCGACTAGGCTTCTCTAGTCATTATCAAGCTATGACTTAACATATACTATTCAAAAAAAGTAGGGGATATTTGATTTTGGGGGCATAATACTAAAATATGCAAATGACTACGAAAAAAGTCACTATAGAACCTAACAGAAGAAACATTTCCAGTTACATGTGACGCCCAAACGCACCAATAGCTACCGCATGGAATGCAGGTGATGCTTGGGATCATCATGGGGGTCCAACCCAAGATTTGCACGACTCTGACTTTGAATGTTACAGTCATTGTGGCATTGAATTCCAGGGTGGAAACATCAGTTTAATTGTTTTAGTGACCAGAAAACAAATTTTGATATGCGTCGGCTTACCCAAAATGAAAGGTTACGTGCCCTTGGCATGCTACAGATCGGCACAACACAGGCGGTTGTGGCGCGGACGATGAATGTTTCTCAGTCTGTCATAAGCAGGCTATGGTCCAGATACCGTGATACACAATCTGTACAGGACAGACCACGCTCAGGTCGACCAAGGGCGACAACTCAAGCCCAGGATCGATTTATCCGTACCTTGGCCTTGAGAAATCGTGTCATCACAGCAAATCAGATCAGCGCTCGTCTTCAAACAGACACTGGTGTGAGAGTGAGTGGCCAGACGATTCGGAATCGACTGCATAGGGGTCACCTTCGCGCCCGACGTCCTCGCGTGATCCCTTGTTTGAGAGATCATCACATTCAGGCAAGACGTCGTTGGTGTAGGGATCGTCAACACTGGGATAATCGACGCTGGAGCAATGTGATGTTTTCAGATGAGTCAAGGTTCACTGTTGATTTTTTGGACAGACGTAGGAGGGTGTGTCGTCGTCGAAACGAGCGCTTCCAAGACGTTAACGTCATCAAACATGATCGATTTGGGGGTGGTTCTGTTATGGTGTGGGGAGGCATCACTGTTGCTGGAAGAACGGCTTTACATGTTGTTGCAGGGCGTGTTACAGGCCAGTACTACCGGGACAACATCTTGGCAGTCCATGTTGTGCCGTTCGCACGACGTCATGGCCGCCGTTTCATCTTCCAGGATGACAACGCAAGATGTCACAGGGCCAGGATCGTTACAGGTTACCTCCAACAACAGAACATCACCACATTACCTTGGCCAGCACTGAGTCCCGACCTCTCCCCCATCGAGCATGTCTGGGACATGCTTGGACAGAGGTTACGTCAACGTCAACAACGTCCTGCCAATGTCCAAGAACTTGCTGCTGCGTTGCAACAGGAATGGGACAATCTGGACCAAAATGACCTTAGACGTCTCATTAGGAGTATGCCACGTCGGATCAATGCTTGTTTGGCAAACAGAGGAGGATTTACCCGTTACTGACTTGGTTGTGATGCTGTGGTAACTTTGCTGTTTGACCCCGGGTATCATTTTACCCTTATAATGGTCAGTCTGTGCCTTACTTAGTCTAACGATCATTTGGAATAAATCGATGAATGTGAACTTCATTTCATTTTGTCATTTGTTTCTTCGTCAGTTTCATTAGGTGACTTTAATAACACTTAAAAATCAAATATCCCCTACTTTTTTTGAATAGTATATATGGAAACGAAGCCGAGTTCAAACTGGCACACTAAGCCAGCACTTTATAAGATATTTACATTGTCTGCGATATCACCTCGGTGGAAGCAGACGTTAAATAAAGCTATTTCACACACACAAGATATTTACCCCACGATATTAAGGCAATCAACTTGGCAACATATAAGAAATTCACGGGACGACCGTACCTGCAATAAAATCACGTGATTGGTTTGGTTAAGCTAGTTTACTGTCAGACAGCGACACATTTCATTCGACAAATCAAGGAGAACTTTTCTTTCTCTAAAGTACGTAATTATGAATGTGCCAGGAAATAACTTACATGTATAGATCAAAGAGCCATAGAAACATATACTTTCCAGTGATGTATAATACTGGAATTTCGTATTAAGACCCGTATTTTTGGCATTAACTTTAATCCAATTATTAAAAAACGTATAATCATTGTGCCCAACAAATAATGAATTTACATGTAGGCTACTTGAAGAGAGGAAACAGTATACATGAACGTGCTTTTCACTGATGTAACATGATATCGTATTATGACCCGTATTTTGACATTGCATTCCCTCCCCCTATCCGTAATCATGGTAATATAGTTTAGTACCATCCAAATTTGATCGTTTTTTTCAAGGTACCGTAAGTACATTTCTTATAGTGTGCCACCAGGTTGATTTCCCCTTATCGTGTGCTGGCGTAATAGTGTACCGGGTTGATATCGGCCTCGTTTTCGTATATGTTAATAATTCACGTGATATCCTACATTTGCATATCATACTTGCTATCTAGAATTAGAAAGCGTGAATATCAAATGAAATGCGGCAGAACGCAAATGTAAAATGTAATGAGGGAAATGTAAAATGCAGGTCTACACGCCAAAAACAGCCTTTTCCAATCAAACATTTGTCATTTGACACATTGCATTTGACGTTTTATATTTAACTTTGGTCTTAAAGGGAATTTGACTTTATCAATACCTGTATTAAGACTTTGTACATTGTACTTTTTACATAATCAACGGAAAAGATATTTTAGCAGAGCATTTAATATTGGCAGCGATATCCTAATTCCATATTTTGTTGATCTTTTGGTGTAGAATTGAAGAAAAGGGTTTAAATATACATTTTCTGTTAGGTTTTGGTAAATATTCATGTTTTTGAAGCGGAAGGATACACGAGTTAAAAGGTTGGTGAGGTTGAAATGTAGGGCAGAACATTGCACTACATGACATTTGTCTCTACTTTCAGTTTGTGTATCTCAAGTTTTCCAAGATGAACCTCATACGTGCTTTGGAGCAAGAAGTTGACACATGTTACTCCATAGGGGGTAGAAATTATTCTATCAAACAAAAATTTTGGAAAAAGTTACAGCTTGTCTAACAGACGAGAATTAAAACATGAAAGTCAATGGGCAAATCATTGGTGAGCTATGGCCTGCTGATCAATGTTATCTGAGAGTTGTTGCACTTGAAATAAGCGACATCAAAGATTCGACATCTTTGACGACAAAACAGATGATAGACTGACATAGTAGTAAGTGTATCTCTTATAAATTCAGATGATGATGATGAGTATATATATATATATATATAATCACACTACAACTAGTACTAATTAAACCGAAACGGTAAACTCTCCATTGGGCATTGGTAATGATTGATTTACCAGAGTTAGGCCTAATAGTTTTCTACTTCTCATAGATTAGATAGCAATGCAAAAGATTTTTTTTTAAAATTTGAATTAGACTAAAACTGAATATTTTCTAGCATTCCACCCCCCCCCCTCCCATTTAAAGGAGCTAAATCGCTAATATTTTGGACCCAGAAATTGGCACAAATGAGTCGCAACACACATATTTGTAATATCAATTTATATAAACTGTTTACATTCAATCGTGTCCGTTTTACTGTGAATTGTCATAAGTTATGTTCGGCGAAATACCCCAGAAGTCTCAACCGCAAGTCAGTTTCTAGCGTCTGGTTATTCCAGTCAACACTGATATTATTTATTGCGCATGCTCTCCAAATAAGAATATATTATCACCGTTTGACATGACTTGTGGAATATGTTTAACCTCATTCTTTTAGCACCTTGTTACACATGGCGGTGAAACGCATTATGGTACACGATTCGTGTACCAATGGTAAAATGTTTATTTTGTCTTAAATATTGGATATCAAAAGCCCATCTTTTCCAAGTAAGATCACAACACCAATGCTGATTTAAATTGCAAAAAAATTTGTGTTTTCAATGTCGAAGATTTTGGATGTTATTGAGTTACAGACTTAGCTACTTTAAAGTCTCAATACCACGTACTCTTGTTGTAACTGAATAATATGTCCCAATCTTTATTCTATATTCTGGTCAACAAATTGCACTATTTTACAATATTCCAATTTATTGATGATACAAATTTCATCTTAACACAACTAATTTTAAAAAATTGGAAAAATTCAACGAAATGATTTGAAAAGCCTGACGTAAAGCTTTTCAAATGTGACTTGGATTTAAAAATATTTTTGAACCCTCTGGACAAGTAAAATAGGATTTAATGGATAATTTACACAACAGGTAAGACACTAACACATCTAGTAGTAGTACTTTTTTTTTTTCTGGAGCTGTCAAGCCAGCAAGAGTGTTATTGTCCGTTTAAGAAACTAAAAAAAGATCAAAATCGATTAAACATATATTATTTATAATGCAAGAGCTAAATCTGCCAATGGCTATTGCAGGTCTTTCCTTAGGCCTGAAATGTTTAGACCTTAAAGTAAAGATACATTATGGGAGATTTGATAACGAGTTGGCAGTTCTCACTATAATAATAGTTAAAAACTAGATAATGTAAAGGCAATTTGCTGAAAATTTCATTCAAATTGATTCACTATGAACCGAGAACTAAGCGATTGAAAATTCGATCTCCATTACTAAAGTTAGTACGATAAACAGCTTAGATCTAGACTCGATTATCCATTTAATCATTAAATCGTGAAGGAAAGTTATGCAGTAAATCGGCACATAATCAACTAAAGATCGCAGGCTAGCGATGCCATCTAGAGTTGATTGTGGTCTGGATAGGTTAATTAATGTCTAATCAATAATTTAGATAACATTTCAGGCCTAAAGAAAATCCTGGAATAGACAGATTTAGCTCTTGCATAATTAACTTATCCAGACCATAATCAACTCACAATGTCATTGCTAGCCTGGTATATTTATTGGATTAGGATCGGATTTGCTGTTCGCCTTTCATTCATGATTTAATCATGAAATAGATAATCGAGCCTACGGTATGTTTTTTATCGTACCAACTTTAGTAATGATGATCGAAGTTAGGCCGAAAATACAATCGCTAAAATCTTGGTTCAGAGTAGTCGTCATGACACTATTTTAATACAATTTTTGAGTCAAAGAAACATTCAATAGGCAACTAAATGTGTCTAGGACACCAACAGTCCAACACTATATAGGCTACTAACCCGAAAGCGCTGCCAATTATTAGCTAGTTAACGTATATTCTGATAATACTTTATTTTAAAATTATCGCTGATAGGGACATTATCTCACGGTTTCACACGAAAATACTACGCTTTGATTACCATTATAAGGCACCAGGGGTCTGGATACTATATCACCGTTAAACCCTAAGGACGGCTGAGTTCAAATTTCGTGAAAATCGGCCCAAAACTGACAGACAAAATGGCCGCCCTTCGTTCTCAAATAGCATAAAAATAAGGTATATGAAGGTTGTGGACCCTAAAGAGGTCACAATTTTTATCCGATTTTGATGAAACTTGAAATGTCAGTAAATTTGTGTGACGTTATGGAAATATTATAAATTCCCCACCTCTCCGAAGGGCATCTACTCTGCTTTTACCCTGGACATTAACCTTGATAATACAGCAAAAAATAGCGGCATAGTATACATTTAAAGCACAAAGGCCCTGATCTCGAATGAAAATTTGAAGTCAAGGTCACAGCGATATTCACAACTGGTCAACGCCAAATACATGTACATGTAGGCCCTCGTCATTTATGGAAAATGGTGGTCTAGCGCAAAAATTAAAATATACGAAAATTGTTTAGCGTTAGGCAGGATGCTCAGTGTGTTGGAATCTGTCTTTTTACTCTTACAAGTAGTGCCTTGTTATTCAAGTCTAAATAGTCAACAAACCAAATGGCGTTTATCGCATGAACATATCTCTCGACAGAAGCTAAAAGGTTGGTAAATTGAGCAGTTATTGATCGATTAGGCTGAAATTTAGTGTGAGGTCATGACTAGTCCCCCTTAATACCTCATGAAAATTTCAAGGTTCTTCGACCACGGGAACTGGTATAGGTGTGAGAGGGCAATAGCACCTAGGTTGTCCACACGAAAAGTCTACTTCCACAAGTATCAAAATACATTGGTTGAGTCATCCACATGGAATTGGTTGAGTCGTGCACATCGGTTGACTTGTCTACATACCAATGGTGACTACTGGGCAAATGAATTAAACAAATATGCCTTAAAAATACAATGTACATGTATCACGCCGATAACTGTTTTGGTTAATTTGGTTAATATCGTAAATATACAAGTTGATTATTCATAGGAAGTAGGTACAGTAAGTTGCCATTGTGAAAATAGGCCATGGTGGCATGGAGATTGGAGACGATCCAAGCAATTAGTGCATTCAGTATCGAGTTTCTCTCCAAAACAACGATTGAGTACTGGTATTATTATTTATTACATTTCTGCCACACTTCAACTACAATGAATTAATAGTCCTACCTGACACGGGTGCAAATCATCTCTTTTACATTGAAGCAGATACCTTGTTACTATCCTAGATCAGACACTTTTTACTTTGCGTCAAGGACGTCGGGGGGAAAATACAGAATTTCTAAAAAATCTGTGTACAGTGTGTTTTTATTGGCAGTATCGATTTATGAATATACATGGCGATCACAATCATTACTAGATTAATTTAACTTTAATTGATAATTTTTGCAGTTGTGTCACTGAAATGGGTTGAGTATGTTTAATTAGTTATAATAGTATTAGTATAGCATTATCTTATTTCAAATTTGTTCCAGGCATTAATAAACAAATGAGTTTGCAAGGTGAAACTAAGGAGATCGAATCATTTTTAGCGATGTTCTCATAGCTACTCAAAGATCAGCGATTAATTAAAATTTTGTTGGTCCTTGTCAACTACTGTCTGAACCATTATAAATTTTAAACAGATTTCTTTGATCATGAACAAACTGATTATTCATGGAAATTAAAAACTTGCCTATGTGTTTGAAATCTCCGCCAGTTAAATATACATGTATATTCCAACAATTAAAAAATGCCTGTACCCATGAAATTCTCAAACAACACTGAACAATGCAATCATTTCATAATTTAATGTTTTCAGTCAAATCCTTAGAGACAGTTTTCTGCTTACAGGTTTAAGAGTTTGTCAAGATATTCATAGCCTGAAAATATGTACGACCGACCTGTAAGTCTACAGGACTGCTGTGTTGATTTCATCTGTGATAATTTAGAAGATTTATGTGATATCCAGTCATCACCTGAGAGTCCTCATCCCAAACACATACTTAAAGATCCAGATGTGTTTTTTCATACTAGTTTGTCTGAACAATTGCTCTCAACATTGAATCAAAAGGGGAAATTAAATGACAGTACTATTGGTATATTTCAACCATCACACACGTCCCTGAGAAGGGTTTCAATCAAAGATGCACAGCTCACAACAAAAGGTTTACGTGTTTTTAAATCGCATAAACTCTCTGAAGTTGAAATAACTGGACTGAAGAGCGTCACAGTGAATGATTTAATTGGTTGTCTTGGAGAATGGACGCTTGCAAATTTGCGTTTGCTAAATGTTAGTAACAGTACATTTTTGAACAGTGCAAAGTTCTGTGTTGTTGTTTCTCTTTCAAAGTTACAAACTTTACAGTTTCTAAATGTCAGTAATACAGAATTTAACAAACATGGCTTGGAGATAATAGCAGAAGATCTACCTTGTCTAGAAAGTCTGGATATTTCGGGTACCCCAATTAACGATATATCACCACTACGGAAATGTAAAGACAGATTAAAAATGTTATCGATGTATAACCTTATGATTAGTAACACAGAAGAAATGGTCTCCGTTTTATGTGAATTGTCAAAACTGGTATATTTAGACGTATCTGATAATTCATCCGCTCAGCCATTCCTGAATTACCAACAATCAAAGTTTGATATATCACAGCTTTTATGTCGTACAACGTCACATCCCAGTTTATCATCATTAGATATATCCGGTCGAGATGATGTTCCTGAAGATGTTATCAGGTAGTGTGCCATTTATTATTAGGGAGGTTGAGATTTCTCTTCCTTTAAAACTACTGTACAGGTTTATGTAATTACTTCATGTTAAGAGTACCATACACATACACATAGTATGAAGTCGAGACTCACCCTCTTTTGCCTCAATCTCGTGGAATAAAATAAATGTGGGGTGATTAAGAGACCAGAGAAAAGCAAATATCTCAGTAGATACATGTACATGTAGGCTTTAGTACACATAACTTTTGAATCTAATTGTGTTACAGTTGTAGAATTTGACATACATGTAATTACATCAATACATGTACTTAAACTAAGTCAGACATGGAAAAATGAGCATTTTCTGCTGTGAACAATACAGAGAGTTTAAGCCACTTCATGACTCGATGCTTTATAAAAAGATATTTACAAATGTTTTAAGCAATAGAAAAAGATGGGGTTTTGGGCAATATGGCACACATATTTTTTTGTTGATCTCTTGTGTTTTATAATAACCATCTCCTAATTTACTATACCGTTGGGCTGGCTGAGGCTATGTAAGCATTATCAACAGTCTGTCAAATCTTTACCAAATGTTTTATTATACTTTATATTTTTCAGGGAATATATGGAAAGTCATAGAAAATTACGATTCCTTGGTCTGGCATTGACTCATACATGTGAATATTCTATGTTTATGATGGAATCACCAGATTATAGGCCTGGTATTGTTGTAAGTAGGCCTACACATTAAGAATCGGTTGTAGAAAATCACTCCAGTAGCTCACACAGATCTTGATAATTTGTGTTGTGAACTTTGAAATGTGTAGATAAATATATATTTATCCATGACATATTTCTTGTGCATTAATTAACAACACAACTCAGTATAATATGTTGACAACTATGTGTTCAACTCAATAACACCAAATATGCTATTTTTCCGGCATGCAAAATGACCGATGGGTCAGATCTACTAGCCTCAGTCATTTTCCATAGCCCTCGATCTTGACCGGCATATACAGCGTATACTGCCGACACAGAACCTGTTGTGTGGCAGTTAGCCATTGAATACATGTGAAACTTTTTACCAGATTTTTATACTCCCACATAGAAATGTGGACGTTTATTGCCGTCCCCCCCCGCCCGTACTTCCGTCCGTCGTCCACAATTTCTTGTGAACGCTCTAACGCCAAAAGTTATGATCCAATTGTTTTAAAATTGATATATGTTGTTAACATTAGTGAAACGAAGAAGCCTATTTAATTTCAATAATATCGGTTTATAACGTCTAGAGTTATGACCCTTGTTTCACTTTGTTGAACCTTGTGAACGCTCTAATGCCAAAAGTTAACATACGATCTTTGTGAAATTTATATGCAGTATTTAAATTGGGGTAACGAAGAAGTCTATTGAATTTCAGCAATTTCCGTTTTTTACTTTTAGAGTTATGGCCCTTGTTTCACTTTGTTTAACCTTGTGAATGCTGTAACCCCAAAAATTATCATCCTATCTTTCTGAAATTTATATGCATTATTTAAATTAGTGAAACGAAGAAGCCTATTTAATTTCAGCGATTTCTGTGTATGACGTCTAGAGTTATGGCCCTTATTTCACTTTATTGAACCTTGTGAACGCTTTAACACCAAAAGTTATCATCCGATCTTTCTGAAATTTATATGCATTATTTAAATAAGTGAAATAAAGAAGCTTATTGAATTTCAGCAATTTCTGTTTATTACATCTAGAGTTATGGCCTTTCTTTCATTTTATTGAACTTTGTGAATGCTCTCTAACATCAAAAGTTATCTGCCGATCTGTATGAAATTTACATGCGTCATTTAAATTAGTAAAGAGAAGAATCCTATTGAATTTCAGAAATTTCTGTTGATTACTTCTAGAGTTATTGCCCTTGTTTAACTTTGTTCTACCTTGTTAATGCTCGATTGGTGAAAGTTATCATCCGATATGTATGAAATTTATGTACATCATTTAAATTTGTGAAACGAAAAAGCCTGTCAAATTTCAACAATTTCTGTAGATTACTTCCAGAGTTGAGACCCTTGTTTCAATTTGTAGAACCTTGTGAACTGTCTTGTAAAGGCCCCCAATTACCTGCAAAGGAATAAATATGCGACAACCCTTGTCGACCGTTCGGACGATTTAGCTGCTGTGGGCGTATGTTTCGTTGCCTGGCAACCTATCTTTAGCAGATGTTTTGTTATTTGACTTGTGGGTACATAACAATCTGCTTCAGGAATATTCTATCAGAGGTCCATTTTTATCCCCCAGGCAAAAAGTACGGGGGAATGCATCCAAATTATCCACCTTTTTGATATCGGTACTTATAAAAAATATAACATTTACTTTTCCAATCAAGGCCAAATGCTAACAAATGCTGGAGACTTCCTGTGTTGTTGAAAACTTTAAGAATAATACAGGACTAATGTGATATTATTTGTGTATTTTAGGTAACTGGAGAAGCTGATGAGACTCAGTTAAAAGAGACATTAAAACGTTATGTGTCACGTTGCATGTATATACAGAGAGCTTTGTATAGGTTATTTAGTTTCTCACAACATATGACAGAACCTAGAGAAGATATTATCAGGGTATGTATATTGTAGATAGGGCTGGCAATCGATACCGATTTTAAATATCGATATCAGCAACCATTTCGGCAATATTGATATATCGCCATCGGAAAATTTTAAGTTGAAAGAAATAACTGTTTGTATGCTAATAATGCATTTAAATATGTTATTGATCAAATAAAAAAACCTATGATCCTCAAACTATGTTTTCTTAATGTTTGCTTCGTTCACAACTTATCTGATGGTGTTATTAATAAAATAGTATTCGCAGCTTCGTGCTCGCCATCAATCACTGTTGACAATTTTCCTCGGCCGCTTATAACAATAAATAAATTTCTATTAAAATCGATTTATTTCCCATGAACAATTAATTAATTATTCATTGTCATTGTTGTAAATGACCGCAAAATTTACTGGTGCGGTTGTTGTACCTTCCCTAGTGTGCATGTTTTTATGTTTTGTGTGTTTTGAATGATATGACGGTGATTATTTGAAACAAATCATTCCGTTAATTGTATTTTATTGAAGCTCCTTTATTTTTTATACAAGTATTGATATCAAGAACTGAATATCGATATCAATATTTTCCCGTAGTCGCCGACGATTATCGGCTATATAATCGATATTTTTCGCCAGCTCTAATTGTAGATAGATTAATATTAGGGATTCAACCAGATAAATATAAAAGGGTTGCATGACCAATTATTATTTCAAAAAATAAAAAATAACAACATCCTCATTGATTACCACATGTTCTTTATTCCATCGGTAAAAGGGAGTGACTCTTTTAATGAATTCCTCTCAAAATGACAATCTATCTCTCTTAATTTTATTATACAATGTATGTATTATATGTATCAGTTGACTCACATATTTTAATACTGAATTAGTTATAAACTGAAATATTTTGTTGGTCTATTGTATTTTTTAGTTGGTTATTCCTGCAATGAAGGCTCATCCTAAACAGTTAGGTGTACAGATGGCAGCCACAGCTTGTTTGTATAATTTATCTAAGAGTGAACTCGGTCCTAAGATTCACCCTATGTGTTTAAGAGATATTGTTGAATTAACTTTAAAAGCTATGGAACAATTCCCTAGTCACCAACAGGTTAGTTCTTATACATGTTCAGTGTATATAAATTGTATCCCTTTTTAAGCCAGATTTCTCTTTGTAGGATTTCAGAAGGTCTCTTAAAGTGCAACTATACAAGGCAAGCTTAAACATAAGTCAACTGTCACATACTTTGAAATGGTCATAAATTATCACACAACCTATATATTATAAATGATAATTTGGGTCCGACAATGTCAATACATGCCAACATCATGCCACTCCTTTTGGTGTTACAAGAATAAAATATTGTTTTTTTTAGCTACAGAAGAATGCTTTGTTAACTTTATGCAGTGATAGAATGTTACAAGATGTGGTGAGTTGTTTTCTGTGATTATTATTGGTCTAAATTGATATCTATTTATCATGACCTATTCAAGGTTTATCTAAACATTTCACTGATTAGGGTCATTCATGTGACCTCTGGTTGGAAGTTCCTCTAAATGTGATCAAATATACTAAAAACAAAACCAGTTATATCTTCGATACATATTGCAGAAATTGATTTTTAATCTTGTTGTTTATGTTTTTTTTTGGTTTTTTTTAGTCGTTCGATCGTTACAGGTGTGCAAAACTAGTCATGGATTGTTTATGTGCTTTTGATGATCCTAGTATGAACCGAATGTCTGTAGCTATCTGTTCTATTTTAGCTGCTAAAGTGAGTCCATTATGATTTCTTTGTGAAGTGAATACATGTATCATGATAAGAAAAATGAATATGTGGTTATAACTTAACGGAGGTCGACAAACTTGTCGAGAAGTTGCATTCTATGTATTGGACATTGTTAAGGCTATAGTGATAGTGTGATGGACTCTTGTGACCAGAGAGTTTGGAGAAGAACTTTCTGACCCAATTCATCATTGCAGTGCTAGGATAGATCAGAAAAATCAGAGAAGAAGTCAGATTTTTTTTTATTGTTATTTAGTAGGCAATAAAAATTAAATGTCTTATCAGCTAGTTATTCAGGGGGGAGTCACGTGGCTAAGTGGGTAAGACGCTGGCTCGCTAGCCTGGAGGTCGGGTGTTCTATCTCTGCATTGGCCGAGAAAGTTCATCCAGATTTTCCGGCGTGGTTCCCCCTTGTCAGTGATACAGGACGGAGGGCCTGGCAAGGACAACTGTCTAGTCCTTCGGATGACACGAAAAACCGAGGTCCTGTGTATACATTAGAATGCATGTAAAAGATCCCTTGGCATTTGGAATTTGATATAAGAGTAGGCGATAGTGCCGCTGCCTGGGCAAAATTTCCCTCATAGCACACTGTATGGCGTATGCCCGTCTTCATTAGCCTAGCATAGGAGCACAACAGTCGGACGTTAAACCCCATTTCATTTCAGTTATTCAGGGTTCGTTTTTGGGTAGCTGTCTGTTTGTTTAGTATACTTATTGACAGAAGAACTGATCAGTAAGTGATATGTTAACTCGTTGATTAAATTTCCACCTTTATTTATTAATTACAGATATCTACAGAAGAAACTTCAGTACTCGGAGCAAAATCTAGATATATGAAGAAATTACTTGGTCTGGTTAAACAAAAAGTCGATAATCAGTTAATTGATATTACTCTCAAATTCACACTCAGTGCTCTATGGAACCTCACAGGTAAATACTCTCAAATTCACACTCAGTGCTCTATGGAACCTCACAGGTAAATACACTCAGATTTACACTCGGTGCTCTGTGGAACCTAACAGGTAAATACTATCAGATTTACACTCACAGTGTTCTATGGAACCTCACAGGTAAATACTCTAAAATTCACACTCAGTGCTCTATGAATCCTCACAGGTAAATACTCTCAGATTTACACTCGGTGCTCTATTGAACCTCACAGGTAAATACTCTTGGATTTATACTCGGTGCTCTATTGAACCTCACAGGTAAATACTCTTGGATACTCTATGAAACCTTTAGCAGAACAGTAGGACATTAAACCCCATTTCGAATATCCACTTGGTGCTCTACCTAATCTCACAGGAAAATAGTTTCAATGTCCACTCAGTGCTCTGTTAAATCTCACTAAAACTCAAATCTATACTAAGTAGCCTACTCAATGGAGCATAACAGGTAAATAGGACCTATTCTCAAATTTAAACTCAATACATTGTGGATTGTTCCATACTCATTATTTATTATCATGATAGTATGCATGTGTAGAAAGAATTATTTTTTTTGATGCTCTGTGTCATTGACTTGTATTGATCTTCTTTCTTTTTATTTTCAGATGAGTCTCCTCCAACATGTAGAGTTTTTCTTTCAGAAAAGGGCTTGGAACTGTTTATGACAACATTACAGGTATAGATGTACTATTATCTTCAATTTTAATTTTATTTTCCTTACTATATTGATGGTCAGTGTGATAATTGCATTTTTGCATATAGATTATTCAGCTGAAGTAAAACAATGTACTATTATTATAATGGTTACTTGTAACATTTTTAACAGGTTGTTGGAAATCTAGAGACAGAGAATCGAGTTCAGGTTGAAACTAAGATATTAGGATTATTGGTGAGTAACTAAACACTTTTATAGGGATATTTGCTGATCTGTTCAGCATCAATTGTCCTTTAAAACAATGAGGCTTTAATGAAAAGATGAGCTGGGTCCTATTAAAAGGGATATACACAAGTTTTTGTAGTTGAAACAGATATTGATTCCAAGTAGTACCCAGGCAAATAGTGATTTTTGGGTGTCATATATTGGATTATACCCATACTTTTTCTCGACTCTTTGATGAAAATGGGAGTATATAAACCGATACACGGCCACTTTTGAAAAGTGGCCATGTATCAGTTGAAAAGGGACAAAAATAACAAAATCATGATTTACATATTTATTTGAACATCTACAACCCGTTTTGAACATGTTATGGTAAAAAAGTCATCATTTTCAATAGTCTCAGCACTTTTCAAATGTGCGTCACTCTCAGTCAGATTCTTACATTTTGTATCACTTTTCTTTACATTTTGATATCTAGTCGCACTTTCACATTTTGTCGCACTTTCACATTTTGTCGCGGCTTATGCTCATCCTCAGCACATAATCCAAATACTTTACTATTAAATTAATCTCTTGGCATTTTCAACACTAAAAACATTCACATTTTGTCGCGGTTTAAGCTCATCCGCAGCACGTAATCCAAATATATTACTAGTATAAATTAATCCATTGGCATTTTCTACACTACAAACTTGAGAACTCTACAATTCCAACTCGTCTTCATTTAATGGCTGTTCTTGTTTTTGTCTGTCAGTGGTGGATGTCAATACCTCGCGAAGTTAATGAATTGATCTGTGCGGAAATTAGCAAATGTACCTTGCTTATCAAAAAAGTTAAAATCCAATCTTTTGTACTGATCTCGAAGTGTCACCATATTCCTATGCAATTGGTATTTTTCCTCGTGTTTGGCAGAATTAGACTCATCTGCATGGCTTTAATTTCTTGTTCTGTGAAGGATCGGGCTTCTAAATCTTCACGATCATTGAAATCTCTTGCAAAACTGATATTCTCAGTCTTAGAAATATATATCTGTGACATTATAAAGTAGGATTCTTCGACGAATTCACGCATTCATTTCTGCCAGGATGTTGGCAAAACAACAAGAAATGGCTACATGTATTGTACAAAATGATTGGATGACGTTTGCTTTTCTCAACCAATCAATATCCCTGTTATGAACATTTTCCCTGACCTGATTTAAACTGTGAAATGCACGTGCGGTGTACTGACATCATTTAGCTGAGTAGAAATAAGCGTTTGCGATGAGATAATTGGGGGGCTCTAAATGGGAAACTTTGATAAATTTGTGAAATGAAAAATGCTTTTGAAATTGGGAAAAATAGAAAAAATCTCTATTTCTCGAAAAAGTATTTAGTATAAGTCAGTTATCGCCTCGGAGCCCCACTCAAAAAAGAGACGGTGTATCAACCCATACACCTTGAAAACAAGGTATATAACTATTACATATTACTAAATCAGCATATTCACCTTTAATCAAAATATCACAAGTACTAGATTCAAATAAAGTAATCATGTAAAAAAAAAAGCATGAAATAAACCAAGTACACAATGGTTAATTGAATTCATCATGATGAAGAGTTTCTCTCTTGCAAATCAATGATTTACAGAATGGAAATTACCGGTACATAGAAAAAAGTTTCTGGTTTTAATCGATGACCACATTAACCTTAAGAGAACATGTCTTTTCAGAATAATATTGCGGAAGTTAAAGAATTAAGAAAAGCTTTGATGAGGGAAGATTTTATTATGTTAGCAAAGTAAGTTTAATACATTTTGTATTTTGAAATGTGCACTGTTCATCCAGATTTTCCGGCGTGGTTCTCCCTTATTGTTAGTGATGCAGGACAGAGGGCCTGACAAGAACAGCTGTCTAGTTGTTCGGACAGGACAAAAAAAACGAGGTCCCGAGTACACATTGGCATGCACGTAAAAGATCCCTTGACAGTTGGAAATCAATATAAGAGTAGGCTGTAGTGTCGCTGTGCAGGCAAAATTTCCCTCATAGCACACTGTGTGGTGTATGCCCGTCTTCATTAGCTCAGTTATTCAGCTAGGAATTCTGAGACTGCCAACTCTTTTAGTTCTCATACAATAATTGAGATAAAAAATTATACAAAGTTTTCAATTAATAATTTCAATCCATTTGTAACTGTACTGTTTCAGTTTATGGCAAATGGTCTAGCAATATCACAATGGGTTGGGGGGTGGAGGATGGTCTCGTGGTTTAATAAGTGCACGTGAAATCACAAGGCCTGTTATTGAGTGAAGTGGTGTGGTTTCGATTCCTGCTCGAACATGACAAGGAGTAGGGCCGCCTATATAACCTCAGGGTTTCTCTGGGCCCTCAGGCATGCTCCCACAGATAAACACCTCTCTACGCGCCAGTGAATTATTGATATAAAATTGAATCATATGTTAGTCCCAAAATAACTCAGTTTGTGTCAAATGGATGTTGAAACTCTCTCTCTCTCTCTCTCTCTCTCTCTCTCACACACTGGCTCAAGTTCAAACTCATCTATTAAAACACTCCTTTGTTACAAAATGACTGTTTCTCCTAGTCTGTGGTGCAGAAATGTAGGATGTTAAATCCCATTTCATTTATTCATTCAAAAATGACCCGTAAGTAAAGTTACCAATAATATTATCTTATGTTTGTAAGGGTTTATTTATTTCAGTCAGTTATTAGATGCTGAACATATTGATGTAAGTTATTTTGCTGCTGGTATAGTAGCTCATCTTGCCAGTGATGGAGAAGAAACATGGGTGATATCTGGTACATTACGAATAGAGGTCTTGGAAAAACTTGTAAGTTCCTTTTCATACGCCCAATTTTTAATGTGGTCACATTTTATGCTTTCAGTGTATTGTTCACATTTGTTGTTAACATAATAGAGGTTACAATAATCCATATTGAAATCGATATTGCTTGTCTGTCTCATTAACTTTCAGCAATTACAATAATAATGTCCAGATTAGATTACTTTATTATATAAAGATTTCAAATTATGATATTTCTGAAATTGACATTGGCTGCCTATCTTATAGAAAGGAAGAACATTATTTGATTTTATTCCCCCTTCTTACAAAATCTTGTTTGCCCTTTAAAGGTTTCAATTATGATTTTTCTATAAAAAAAATTATGATTCGTTTAACTCACAATGGTTTGGTTGACTTTGCTGTGCAAAATTATTTTTAGCAGAAATATTTTCTTCATTCCATTCCCAACGAAACGTAGTGTCTTCAGTCAATCGATTATGGTCTAAACCTACTTCCTTTGCTTTTTCACATGGGCTACCAAGAACCTTGAACTTGAAATCTTATGCTTCCTATTCATATTGTCACTAGATGTCCTCGCTTTTGCTTCCTTGTAAACATGTAATGTTTGCATGAGGGCGGTGCAGGGTAAAACTTGAAATAAGTTCTGTGCTGACAAATCCTTGACTGTGGTTAGATGTTGTTTATATTTTCAAATTTTGATTTTAATATTTAGATATTATTTATATTGACAGGGTCAAGTAGTTTTAAACTGGGAACAACCACAGGGTGAAATGGTAGCATATAGGTAAGATATTTTCTTTGATTGGCATTTAGTAATTGAACATATTAACACAAAGTACAATTTTATGGGTACACAATTACTGATTTTAATACAAAGCGATGTTTAAACGAGGATACTCTTCACCAGCTGCTTCCATATTTACTGCTGAACTTCTACAGGCTTTGGAGTATATCCAGTCCTCATCTATTTTAAAGGACAATATTGGTGTCAGTCATTATCACATATGTGATAGAACTAATTAAACACGTTCCAAATATAATTTTAACACAGAGATCATTGCTACGATAGCTGAGTAATACAGGTTTCCTGAATCGGAAGTGACGAACGCCAAAGGAAAACACGAGGCATCCCTCTTGAAAACTGACTGAAGTGACGAGTGATAACAGATACATGGGCGAATTTCTGCTCACTAATAATTCCTTCCAAGACCAAAAGTTGTTGTGTGAGACTGTGAGAGGATATCTGACAATTCATAAAAAGAATTGACTGCCACTAGATAAGAGAACACCAAAGAAAAACAGAAAATAGTCTGTGTATTACCATGTTTTTATAAGGTATAGAATGAATATAAACAAGGGAATGTACGGACTATTTCTATTTTCTCGTGTTCTCTGTTTGCCATTTATTACCGTAAAACCCTCAGTGTCGCATCAAGGGAAGCGGGGAAAGCCCTCGCTACAGACAACACATGGTCATAGTGGAATTCCTAATGCATCATGCTTGGCTGGAAAACAAGCCAGTCGGGATAAAGACTTTATTATCTTGGCCGGAAAACTGGCCAGTCGGGTTCAAAAAGTTAATGCTTATGATTCCTATTTCTAATCTTAATCTGCTAGTGTATATATGGTGTATTTTGTATATATTTTCAGATCATTTAGTCCATTCTTTCCCTTGTTAATTTGTTATGATCTACCATCAGTTCAACTGTGGGCAGTTTGGGCCATAAATCATGTTTGTACTAAAAATGGTAAGTGGTATTTATATTATATTAAGCACTACTTATATTTTGGTTTACTAATACTATCCTCCAGTTCTGTTATAAATAATTGGCTAAAATTGTATAGTAAAAACTCAAAAAACTGACTACAGATCAGAATAATATCATGGTGAACAATTTCCCACAACCAGTTTTATTGTACAGGATGGAAAGATACAATATAAAAAGTAAACATTATATTCAATAAAAATCAATGTTATAAACACAGCTTTGTTTGAGATAATGCTGGCACAATATATATCGTTCTCACAATTCGTGTATTGAATCTGAGTTGCTGAATCGATTTTTCACATTTCCTTTTTATGTTTTTATAGATTCAGTAATTACTCTTAATTATCCATAGGTACACAAACCCTTTTGAATTGTTTTGGTCCTCATTTTGATCCACATCACTATCATGATATAAAACAGTTTTGTTTCTTCTGTTAGTTGACATCAGGGTCATCATATATACAAAGGTCAAGGGTCATTTAAAGGTTAGGTCACCAGAGAGAAGGTCAAAAGTCGAACAAAATTTAAAGTGAAACCAGAAGTGAACAAATCGAAATTCAAAAATCGCCTCCCTAAGAATAAAAACCATTACGAAAAGTATATGTGTTTCAGACCTTCGGTCAAAACACGTAATTACAAATCTCTGTCATTCTGTTTGAAAAAAGAAAATTAATCACACCATTGAACATGCGTTGCCAAGACTAGCACAAGCTTGGACTAGAACTGATTGTTCAGATTGTACATTAAAGTTTCATTTAATCTGACTTTGGTAAGTAACACATGAATCGATGACAAAGTCTCAATTTTCATTAGTCCAGTTGGTACTGTATTTCATGACAGTTTCTTGCTTTGGTTCCATCATGTAGGAAATGAGGCAAAAACTGTCAGTTATTTCCGTTACAGATCCGAATTATAAAGTAGTTAGGGCCCTATAATGTATTTGTTAAAGGCTCAATACCACTCTTGTTGTAACTGAATAATATGTCCCAATCTTTATTCTGGTCAACAAATTGTACTATTTTAGAATATTTCAATTAATGGATGATACAAATTTCATCTTAACACACCTTATTTAAAAAAATTTGAAAAATTCAACATAATGGGGGGGGGGGGGTGGATGGCTGAATGGTTAGCGTGCGCGCGCTGTATCATAAAGTCTGTCATTGAGTAGACTGGCGTGGTTTCGAATCCCTGGTTGTACGTGACAAGGAGTAGGGTCGCCTGTCCAACCTCGTGGGTTTTCTCCGGGTCCTCCGGTTTCCTCCCACTGCTAAAGACCCCTATGCGCAAGCGAATTATTGAAATAAAATTAAACCATATGTTAGTCCCGAAATGACCTAGTTGTGTCGAGTGGACGTTAAACCCCATTCTCTCTCTCTCTCAACATAATGGTTTGAAACGTCTAACGTAAACCTTTTCAAATGAAACTTCGGTTTAAAAATATTTTCGAACCCTCTGGACAAGTAAAATAGGATGTAATGGATAATTTACACAACAGGTAGGACACTTAAACATCTAGTACTTAGATAGAGATATTATTTATTTTCTGGAGCTTTCAAGCCAGCAAGAGTGTTATTGTCCCTTTAAATGTACTTGAAAGAATATTTCTCTTTATTCGCAGAGAAACGATATTGTCCATTATTACAAGAAGAGGGAGGTGTGGAGAAACTACAAGCTCTACTAAAGAACGACACAACGCCAGAAGTACAAAAAATATCAAGGAATATTCTCGAACTTTTACACAAACATGCCAAAAGCCAGTGATATATTGTTTAAAAAAGAATATTATACACCAGTCTGATTTGTTCAGGGCCGATGTTTTCTTTATATGTCAATCTTGTTTTAAAATTGGCCAACTGTGTATGAACAACAGACATACGGCCATATAAAAAATAATATTCTCGTTCTCTGATACTACTACACCACTTAATACTGTCTTTACAACCGTTTTTATTTTAAAATGTAAAAAATATAAACATCTTTGGCTTTGATTACAACTTCCCACTGTTAAGGGAAGTAACTCTGTTAGACATGTCCAGTAGGCTGAATTATCAAGTACACAAACTTGCTAAATGTTTGGTAAATGTTATTGACAATCTTCTTTCATGGATGATAATTCTCCTGCTTACTACATCTAGTAATGAGAAGGGAATTACTCGTATTATACACCATTTTGATGGAAGGAGCAGTATTCACATTAGAAATACAAAATTTGTTCTTTCCTTCTGTAGAGAGAAATATTTACGGGTTTTAAATAGAAACCTATATTTAAAGGATTGTCTGAGAACCTGAATTTTTTTGTATGGCCTAAATTCACTTTGTTAACAGAAGCTTATGTTTAGACAATGGTTAAAAATGTCTACATTAATCTAAATGTTTACCATTTCCTAAAATAAGTTACATTCATAAAGCCATAACTCCGCTGTATTAAACCCCATTTCTGTTGTATTCACCTCCCTCCATTTGATATTTTAGTCCCCTTACTATGTTAAATTCCCAAAAATGAACAAATTTGAAGGTCAAATTCATATCTTCCTGCTTGTCACTATAAGAATGCACCAAGAGTTTTTCAGTAAAGACATTTCTAGAAAGTTAGGAACGACTCTTCTTTAGGAACTAACCATGTTTTTGGAAGAATTTCAAAAATCTAATTCACCAAGTCAATGCAGAATATTTTCCTAAGAACAAACATGCCAATTTTCATGCCGATCGGACTTGAATTGATGGAGTCTTAGGCTTTTTCGAAGAGTGTTACCCCCTCAAGTCTGGTCCCCCCCCCCCAAAATACTCTTTTACTTGTTCAGATATGAAAAATACTGACTGGATTTCAAAGCTGCTTTGCAGTTTGAAATGGAAGTATTTGAATATGTGCAAATACTGGCAAATTTTAGTATCTACTGCTGTTTAATTTATTTGACATAAGAATATAAACTAGAAATCCTAAGGAGTACTGACGTGTTTCGGTATATCAAGTCACGTCACACCATGTCACTTCAACATTCAAGTCACACCATGAATTATTGAGTATAGTAACATCCAATACCTATTAAAGTGAAAAAAAACTGTCATTTTGAACTCTTAATAAAACCAGAAGTTATACCAAACTTTTTTATATTAATTGTTAGTAGACATTAGGATCATCATACATACAAAGGTCATAGAAAGGTTAGGTCACCATCTAGATGGTGAAAAGTCGAACAAACTTCAAAGTGAAATCGGAAGTAAACAAAATCGAAATTCAAAAATCGGCTCCCTAAAGATTGTTGCGATTTGGAATAGGTTCAGTACAAAAAAAAAGTTTTCAAAAATCGGAATTAAAATGGCAGCTGAATATCGATTTGAATGTTTTTTGTAAAATCCATTATGGCGGCCAATCAGTTGAAAATGTTATCTAACAAGGTCTTTGAACATGAAGGATATTATCTGGGGCTAACACCACCATTTATATCATTTTTTGTCTATTTTTAAAATGGAGAGAACTATTCATGTTCAGGAAAAATCGGAAGGCATGGTAATTTCCAGAAGTTTCCAGAAGCCGTCACAAAATTTTTTAATATGCTATTTTGAAGGCAGATGTGTTCCTTATTCCTTATTTCAACTTGATACCTCAAATAGTGATGGAGATACGCCATCTTGAATGTCGAAAAAATGCTGAAGAAAACTTTCGCAAATCTTTGATGCTAATATTAATCAAGCAAACTTCCGAATATCAAAAAAACGTCCATCAGAGCCCATATGGGATTCATCCAAAGAAGATCCGTTAGGAAATAACTTAGATATGGGCAATCTGAGATTATTATTTGTTTCATCCGTAAAACACTTCCTGTTCATCAAAAATGACCCAATTTATATTAAATAAATAGACCCACGGAGGCCAACCACATCTACGTTGGCGGAATGTTTGCATCATGTACAGTTTTGGCTGCACAAAAACAGTCGAGACAGTCGAAACGCATTAATTTATGTTTTTTGTTAATTTGACAGTTAGTGTTATTGTCTTGAAACTTGCTATACTTTCTTTTTCCTGCCATATCAAGCTTTGTTTAAAGTGGCTGTTTTTCTTAATTCACCCTATGATTGCTTCATTATAAGCTCATTTGACTCCTATCTTGTGCTGGAGGCACAGTAACTTAATTAGTAAGATGCTGGATTTCTGTTTTCAGTGTTGACAGAGAAAGTTACTTAGGATTTACCATGTCAGTGGTGCAGGATGGCGAGTCTGGCTAGGAAAAACTTCTAATCATTTGGATGTTGATGTGAATGTAAAATAATTGTTGCCGTCCGAGCAAAATGACCATTCAAAGCACACTGCATGGTATCTACCCCTCTTTATTAGCCACTTTAGTTCATAAAAACCCATTTGTCACCTGTTTATATGGTATCAGTAAGTTTAAAAGTAATGAATGGGCACATTTTATATTTAATGAGTATAGTATGATATAGATTACTTGTAATATCATAACTTTGCAGTAGCTCAGATAAACAGTGCAATAATAACTCAATTGCTAAAATATTGCACAGTTAGGATCCAATGTTAAATATAAGCTATTTAGTGGCAGATATTATGATAAGTTATAGTAGAAAGGTTATTTGGAAATAAGAAATCAAAGGATTGTTACTATATAGATAGGTATATTTAATTTGTTATTTTTGATGTAGTTTGTTATTAATAATCTGTTTTGTTATTATTTAAGGTTTTTGTATTCTAAGAAAAATTTATATTTATCTTAAATTTATATGTCAAAGTGCTCTGTTTAATAGTTTAATAATATGAAATATGTTATATAGATATGATAAGTAAATACTGGTACAGCAACAAGAATTTTTATGTACTGGTGACAGTTCCACACAACCATGTTTTTTGTACAGTACATGGTTATTTCATCGGTTAGTGCAGTGTTGACATAAATATGGGTATGGTAGCTCCAATGCAGCTCTTTTACTTACCTGAACTATCACCTTCTCGATTTAAAAAGCATACTATTACAACACAAAAAAGTGAAATCAAAGATTTGATTATTGAGATACATTCATTTCCAAGGATTGAGGAAATCCAAATTCTTTCTTGAAATCTTGAGTTTAGGATGTTACAAATCATTGTTTTCTTGTTAAATTGTCAAATTAATTTAATGTTAAAAACAAATTGGAACTATGACAAATGGCAACTGTTTATTACAATATATCTTATTGAGGTTTTTTCTCTAAAAATAATTATTAACCTATGATTCAATAGATGTGTTTCTGACAATTAGTTAAATGTTTTTTTGGTTTTTTTTACTGGATTGTTATCAAAGTTTCCACTCATCTATAAGAATTATTAGGGTGGGGTAGTGCTAGTAGTGAACACTGTGGTACATGTATGTATACAGTAGCGGTGGTGCTAGGATTTTCACAAATTCTCACCTAAATGCACAATTTGGGGTGTGCGCTTGATAAGAAAGAAACATAAACAACAAAAATAATTGCATCTTGGGGTCGAACTAAAAGGGGGTAAATCAGTTCATGGAATCTTGATATGACTAGCTTGGAATGAATAGTACGTACTTCACTAAATTGCAAATGGTGTTTGTCAGTTAGATGGGGTTGGATGTGTGTGTGAGAGGGGAGGTGTTGGGGGGGGGGGGGGGCATTTGTTAGACATTACCTTGATGGTCATTAATATATCATATTTTATTTAACTTTTACAACTAACAATTTCATATTACAATCTGCTCACAATTGTGTGTCACTCTTTTCATTCTATCCTTTTCGTACACCAGTTTCTGTTAGAAGGAAAATGAATCATACTAATTTAGAACTCTAGATATAATAATTGAGATACAAGCCATAGAAAATAGATATATATTAATTTTCTTGATAAGGTATTAATACCTCCTAATTATCCCTGCCGAACATTATGGTATTTTATTTTCTGATTTATTAGCTTAATGTTTAACACACAGCAGCTGATTGAGGTAGGCACATGTTGTTGCACAAGCTTTACAGGGATTAGCGACCGTACATTGCCGAGGTACTGTAATAAGAGTATGCATCTTTTGACTAGTCCCATTGATACTCCAAGAAGTTGTTTTTCCTTATGCCTTCCAAACAAGTTCAAGGGCGTGGGATGGAAATGACTTGTCATCTTGTTGAAATTTAAACAATCCTAACAAACATATCAGTATTTCACGTCTAAGAATATGATTGACTTATTCATAAAACCACAACATGATAGAATCAACTTCCTCGATCAAACTTAACTTACAGCCATTTCTGTTGATTTCATATACATAAAGTAATAATAATTGTGCCATCTTTTTCGTACGAGACGGCTCGTGAAGGTTTTATTATACTAGGATGTTCTTACTGTAATAACAGTTTTTACATTAAAATATACTGAGATGCAATGAAAACGCACCACTTTTATGAATGGATGATTGTAATTCTTGTTTGTGAGATATACATTAATCTTGCAATTCTTAATGTAATATCTGATTTCGATGATAACATGTAAGAATGTTTTTATGATGGTGTTAACACACCACACACCAGTCCTCATAGGGTCTGGCGATGAGTCTAATGCTGTGGTTTGTTCTGGCAAGGAATAGGGTTACCTGCCAAACTTCGTGGATTTCCATCCACAGCTTAATACCTGTGACAATATGAATTATTGAAGTAAAATTGTGCAATAATGTTTCGAAATTACCTAGTTTGTGTTGTTGAGTGGACGTTTAACCATATTTCTCTCTCTCCTCGGCACTTTCAGTTTAATCGGCGGTGCGTTTACTTTGGGTCTCAGACTAGTATATTTGAGATAATATGTGCACGATCTGGCATAGAAGGCCTTTTATTTTGAATTTAGAACTATATAATTGGTTATTGATTCAAGACAAATTACTAACTTTTTATTATCTTGGACTGTTTAATACAGTATCATTTATAGACTATAATTAACAGGTTGTTCCCTACACGAATAGATATTATATTAAATGATATTAATAAAAAATTAGATAGACTGAATGAATAAAAGTATTATGGAACTTGCCTAGATTATTTATTGTATATTTAGATAAGTTTAAATAGGCATTTATTATACATGTATTCTATAATGGATTGTAATGTTATGTGTTAAACGGTTTATAAAATATATATTGTTATGTATACCTGTTACACATTGTTGTTTTCGTCCGTTCAGAAAAAAATAGATTTGTTTTATTACATTGAATATAATAAGTGTTGGGTTTTATTTTTTGTTACATTAAACAAGGGTCTATTTCTTGGTGGGTATTTCAATTTGTATCTTGTATGCTAAATTTCTAAATGAACTAAATAATCCAGTTGGGTATAATATGGCAAAAGAAAATCGAACTACCGATTAACAATTCAATGAAAAGTCAATCAGTTGCAGATTCTTTAGATTTTATTAATCATCTAGTATTGAAGTGGAGCTGATCGGTAACCTGGAGGTCCCAGTGTTGGCCCAGAAAGTTCCTTTGAATTTTCCGGGGTGGTTTTCACTTGTCAGTGGTACAAGGAGGGGGCCCGGACAAGGAACAACGTCAGGTATTCGGTGGGACGAAAAAAAACCCGAAGATTTGTGTACACTGTTCGGCCAAATTTTCCCTTGTAGCACACCGCATTAGCCCGGGTGGAACAAAAAAGGAGGTTGAACCCAGTTTTGTTAGGTTTTAGCCCCGTCTTCATGTCGTTAAGACGTCAAACCCATTCCATTTTAAAATGTCGGGAAAAGCCAACGTTTTACGCTTCAATTTTATAGAGATGATTTGTATCCGTGTCCGGTAGGATTATATGCTTAATTGTAGTTGGATGTGGCAAAGAAGTTATAAATAACAATAATTAATCGTTGTTTTGATGAAAAAATTAACAGTTTTGCTGTTTGAGTCCCAATGTGATCGCATTGGGGGTTTGCCAGGTAAAACTATAAGAGTACCATCTCTTATGTCGAAACACGGAGGGTTGAGAGATGAGGTTTCTTATCTACATTAGACCGGGTATGTTTAATTAGCTCTATCAGTATCAAATTAACAGATTTTTAAGATTTTACATGCATTATTAATGAAATTAAGTTTGCCACGCGAAACCAAAGGCACCCAATCGTTTTAGCTCGTAGCTAAGGGTTCTATTTTCGGAACCTTGAAATAGATGAAAATGGTTCTAAAAGCACATATTAATATTAAAAGAATGTTTTTAAAGTGATTTATATTCAATTTTTGAAAAAAATATTGTAATTTCTGATCAATTATATTCGTTCAAGTTGAACGGCATCGTTTACGCCGGCTAAGTCCGTTCTACACGTTTTTAGCTCCTTTAACCATGCTGAACCGAAAGTGCAAAACTTTTTATATTAAAATGGCGTCATATAATTATAAACAGACAAATTATAAGCAAGTTCTAAAATTGTCTTCACACAGCTGCTGCTTTTTTCCGCGTATTCTGCATTGCTGAATAATTGAAGTGTGGCTATAACAGCACCGACACATACCGGTGTTTATAAAATGACAGTTACCCCACCGTCGTTAATTTGTTAATTAATGGTTTTGAGTCGTACGTGGCTCAAACTATTTTAACACTAGATACTAAATAATTTTTAAATACTTTTAAGGCCCAAACACTACATTTACAGAGTAGAGCGGAAATACTTTAATAATAAAGGACCCCGAAAATTATGTTCTTTCGGGTAATGTTTTGCCTTTCCGGAATTACAGACTGAAATGGTGAGTGCAGATAGGCAAGAATTTGGAGATGGTTTTATGCGGTTTGATAATTATTTTAAGATTTTGTGCGTCATAAGCAATTAGCTCTATAAACCACAAATTATATCTTGTATCATTACGCGTGCTTAGAAATAACACATATCGGGTATTTATGCTAACTTGCCAGAAAACAGAATTGTGCGTGTTGCGCATTAAATTTGTGTGGATTAAAATTAAACACAATGTGCACATTTTCCTTAAATTTCCCAACAATAGGTGGAGCTGGTCAGAAACAAGAGCGGTACCTTAGTGTAACTGAGCGTCAGTGGAGGTCCGCCTAATATACTATTCAAAAAAAGTAGGGGATATTTGATGTTGGGGGCATAATACTAAAATATGCAAATGACTACGAAAAAAGTCACTATAGAACCTAACAGAAGAAACATTTCCAGTTACATGTGACGCCCAAACGCACCAATAGCTACCGCATGGAATGCAGGTGATGCTTGGGATCATCATGGGGGTCCAACCCAAGATTTGCACGACTCTGACTTTGAATGTTACAGTCATTGTGGCATTGAATTCCAGGGTGGAAACATCAGTTTAATTGTTTTAGTGACCAGAAAACAAATTTTGATATGCGTCGGCTTACCCAAAATGAAAGGTTACGTGCCCTTGGCATGCTACAGATCGGCACAACACAGGCGGTTGTGGCGCGGACGATGAATGTTTCTCAGTCTGTCATAAGCAGGCTATGGTCCAGATACCGTGATACACAATCTGTACAGGACAGACCACGCTCAGGTCGACCAAGGGCGACAACTCAAGCCCAGGATCGATTTATCCGTACCTTGGCCTTGAGAAATCGTGTCATCACAGCAAATCAGATCAGCGCTCGTCTTCAAACAGACACTGGTGTGAGAGTGAGTGGCCAGACGATTCGGAATCGACTGCATAGGGGTCACCTTCGCGCCCGACGTCCTCGCGTGATCCCTTGTTTGAGAGATCATCACATTCAGGCAAGACGTCGTTGGTGTAGGGATCGTCAACACTAAGATAATCGACGCTGGAGCAATGTGATGTTTTCAGATGAGTCAAGGTTCACTGTTGATTTTTTGGACAGACGTAGGAGGGTGTGGCGTCGTCGAAACGAGCGCTTCCAAGACGTTAACGTCATCAGACATGATCGATTTGGGGGTGGTTCTGTTATGGTGTGGGGAGGCATCACTGTTGCTGGAAGAACGGCTTTACATGTTGTTGCAGGGCGTGTTACAGGCCAGTACTACCGGGACAACATCTTGGCAGTCCATGTTGTGCCCTTCGCACGACGTCATGGCCGCCGTTTCATCTTCCAGGATGACAACGCAAGATGTCACAGGGCCAGGATCGTTACAGGTTACCTCCAACAACAGAACATCACCACATTACCTTGGCCAGCACTGAGTCCCGACCTCTCCCCCATCGAGCATGTCTGGGACATGCTTGGACAGAGGTTACGTCAACGTCAACAACGTCCTGCCAATGTCCAAGAACTTGCTGCTGCGTTGCAACAGGAATGGGACAATCTGGACCAAAATGACCTTAGACTTCTCATTAGGAGTATGCCACGTCGGATCAATGCTTGTTTGGCAAACAGAGGAGGATTTACCCGTTACTGACTTGGTTGTGATGCTGTGGTAACTTTGCTGTTTGACCCCGGGTATCATTTTACCCTTATAATGGCCAGTCTGTGCCTTACTTAGTCTAACGATCATTTGGAATAAATCGATGAATGTGAACTTCATTTCATTTTGTCATTTGTTTCTTCGTCAGTTTCATTAGGTGACTTTAATAACACTTAAAAATCAAATATCCCCTACTTTTTTTGAATAGTATAATATGATGATCACTCTTAACCATTTTCCCTAATTGTCGTACGCTATTAGCAGGAGTTTGCTGACAGTCAGGCAGACAACTAAAGACGATTAGAGACGAGCGGAGACGGAGAGACCGGCGTATGGACTCACCCGAGTTCAGCCGCTGCCTTGGCAGAGGGGCAGAATGGTGGATTTAATATAGGTGTTCCTGTATATTAGTTTAAGTTCCTGTATTGTTGTATGTATGTAACTGTAGCTGTTTTATATACCTGGTGTAAATAAATCATATATTTACCAAACTGATCTCTGTTATCACTAAGATAGTGTGACACCTACTTTTCTGCTCCCACTGGGCAATATATCAATTTGAACTATGTTTTAATTCTTTGTAAACTTACGAGTTTTCATAGATTAACTTTCTTACATGTCATCCTTCATTAAACAAAATTTATGCAAAGACGGGATGACATAATGCCGGGTCGGAAATATTCGATTATTGCTGTAAAAGTTGTACAATACAACTGGTATAATCGCTTTTGTCAGATAGGTTATTGATAAATCATCCTGTCGCGAGCTGTGTCCTTGTGGCAGTTTCGATTTAACGGTCTATTGATCCTGTCACTCAAAAGCTGGATTCAAATCCAGAATATCATGATATGTAAGTTCCTTGCCACCTTGCCGGTTACTGTAATTCGACTCAAGGCAAATAGTGACTACGATAATGAGATTTTCCTCGAACAATTGACGGGTTTAAATCCTGGTATTAAATCTGACTAGATCGTTCCCTATCTTGTGGTTAAGGACTATCTTTTATTTTTGATTCGTATTACCAGTTCCACGGAATAAAATCACACAATCTCCAAAATGGTTTAAAATCCATTTATATAATTTAGGCACGTACAATTATACAAAAGGTTGGTACAGTCTCACACACATGACAAATCTATAAAAAATAAAATACTTAAAATTTCGTACGTGCACTGCTTAATTAGCCATGTCAGATTAATTTTATTTCAAGTATTATCCTATGCTCACTCGGCAAACCTCGGCAGATTCCGTTACTCTACATCTAGCCTTGGCTGTATGACGGTAAGTGATATGTACCTACGCCTATACAATTGCGATGCAGCACCGGTTTACTTATTAGGGAAACTTGCCGCTTTTAAAAAGAAGTGTGTAGAATTTTCAGTGCAAAGTTGTCCTTGTTTGAAGAAAATCGGATAAACCTGAAAGAAAAATAGCTGCAGACTTTGAAATATTTGTATGATAAAACATTCTTCAAAGGCGTCGTCATGGGCAACGCCGTTGGTAATCCGGGAACTTGAAAGTAGTTCCAATGGCGGACTTCGTCATACAGCCGAGGCTAGATGTTTGGTACTGGAATCTACTGAGGTTTGCCGAGTCATCCTATGCAAAAGCAAAACTCATATACCGAGACCATTTAAACCTTTCTGTCAATTTGGTAATAAATGACGGGTCAGTACAGAACAAGTCAGTGTAGAAGACAAATTGGTTATAAAACCACCGAAATTAATGGCACAATTTCTGTACACATCACATAAGTTACACGCGTGTATCATTAGACAAATAGAATGTGTCAATTGAGTGATCCCGTAAATGTAGAGTAGTTTATCATTATAATTTGTTTCTTTATATAGCTTTCATGTCTTGCTACAACCACCTGCTGGTCCACGACGTCCTGACTTTTTAAACACTCCTCGGTTCTGAGGTGAATAGTTTTTAAAAAATATTAGTATAAGATGCACATAGATAATAAAATTTATCACCCAATAATACATTCTACAGTAGATATCGCTTGTGTGATAAATTTCATAATCTGTTAAAAACAAACTACTTTTTTTATTTTCAAAGAACAGTTCATTTTTGGTGGAAACACTGGTTGATTTGCTGTCAAAAAATGATGCATCACTACGCCGTAATGCAATCATGTTCAGTAAAAGTTAAATCTATAGCAAAGAATTATATTTATTTATTTGTGCATGTAACAAAGGATTGGGGGATAAATAAAATCTCCTACTCGTCTTTTTCTATATCAAAAAAGATTCGTAGGAGATTCTCTATATAAGAATGTACAAAATATATATTACAACAGATTAACAACATATATAATAATAGCAATACTTAGATATCAAACATTGAACAAGTTCACTATTTTATCACATACAGTTAAGATTATTTTTTTAAATATATCATAACCGTGGCGTTCAAACTTGTCTGATTTACGGATGTCTCGGGAACGTTATTTATGCTATTGCTCAAGGATACCAGGGCATTGGAAATATTAATTAAATTCTCGGATCTAAAAGCTTTCGGTTCCTTGCATGGTATAGTCTTGGTTTAGATCCACAGACACTAAGCTTCCTGTCTTAACTTAATATTGATTTTTAGATAAAATAAAGAATGAATTTAAACATAGTAGAGTGACCCCAACTCTATGGAACATAGGACTTCAGTATTTCTTGGGTCGTGGTGCTAAACTTAAAACTGAATCCTAGATCTTTCACCGAATTATTTTCTAAAGATAGGAAGATCGTTGGGTAGTAATAACATCTATTAGCGAAAGCGTATGAGTATGACGTCTAAAAGTTAGAAAGATCGATGAGTAGTTGTTCATGACACACCGCTTGACTGGTAAAAGAACGAAGTGCATTTAGTTTTTCTATAAATATGTACCAGTAACTAAAATTATGTCAGCGAAGAAATCCGCGTGACAAATCGCACGTCATCCCTCAATTTATTTTTAAATAAATAACATAAATATTGTCCAATAGTTATGACTCTCTGTACTGGTCATCAACCAACAAGTTGCCAAGTTTATCCAAAGGTTTCGGGCTATGAGATAGAAAGAGAAATGGGGTTTAACGTCCACTCGACACAAACTAGGTCATTTCGGACTAACATATGTTTTTTTTTTTTATTTCAATAATTTGCTTGCGCGTAGGGGTCTTTAGCAGTGGGAGGAAACCAGAGGACCCGGAGAAAACCCACGAGGTTGGACAGGCGACCCTACACCTTGTCACGTACATCCGGGGAATCGAAACCCCGCCAGTTGACTCAACGCCTCTCTGTATTCTTAAAACAATAATCGGCAATTCGAGAGAGAAAGAAAATAGAAAATAGCAACGTAAAATTGATAATGAAGTTTTTGAAACAAGTAACAAGGAAAAACAACAATTGTTCCTGTTATTTATTTCATTTAAACACACAGTGACAAGTTGAAAAGACACATTGAAACAATTAAAAACAACATTAATTACAAATTCTACGAAACACCTAAATGTATATAGGGCCTTTATAAATGTATATAGGGCCTTTGACCCACATGATCAGATAAAATACTTTTGGTTTCTCCAAATTATATCTCTAGCCGCAAATCTCAAGCCTTGAATGCAGCATTAAAATTCTTACTGTTGGCGTAAAGTGGTTCCCAGAATTTTAAAAGTACCAAAAAAAAAAAGAGAAAATTGCATCAAAGTTTGCTACCACATTTGCACTAAGTCGTGGGTTCCCAACCTTTAGGTCGCGACAGCACTTTTCGTGGGGTCGTGACGGACTTCTCTGAAACCTTTTTAAAAAAATGTCATGATTTTCATGAAAAGCATATGCCTCTCTGATCTATATACCTCTTGCAACATTGCTAATCGTCTTTCCTCAATTTTTATAAAAGTGGAAAAATGTAAACAATAAGTTGTCAAAAGTGAAACGATAATAAAAGTAAACAATGATGATGTTTCATAGTAAAAGGTGAATTTGTTCTTCGAGGGGTCGCGATCAGATGCTGGTTTCTGGAATGGGGTCGCAACCAAGATAAGGTTGGGAACCACTGAACTAAGTGAGAATATTTCTCACAAAACGTTAATTAAAAATTATTATTCGATTTTCATTTGTCATTTCATAGTACGATGCAAAGAACTACAACTAAGTATCTCGTACCCCCTTTAACAGTCACCAACGAATTGCCTATCCACTGCAATTCACCAATACACATGCACGTAACATAAACTTAGAAAGTTGAATTCGAAGACGACCAGGGGGAAATGACACTGTCCCGCAGATATTCTCTCCGAGCACAGCGCATGTGCTTGTAGTATATAACGGTATGATTGTCTCAATATGACTTCTAGTATAAAGGTTAGTGGGACGTCTGATTTTATCAGTTTCCCTGTCTTTGAACGTGAACATTTTCGCAAACTTTTCGGTCAGGACAACCATAAAACTAACTGCCTTGGATACACATTTTATAAGTTTTGTATTCTAAACTAACGTCAATGAAATAAATTTATCAGCACCATTTTTTTTAGTATCTTCATGATCGTTTTCATCCAGTCATGTAACAATGGTACTTCCGTTAGCATTACTAACAGACGTTAACGCCTCTTGATGAGTGTATGACGTCATTGGCACTGCTTCTGGTGCCGTAGAATCTGATTCTGCGTGTACACAGCAACAGCACGAGAATTTTATCTCTGTAAACAAGAACCAAATGATTGGTCGCACACCGGGTGTTGCCGATCTCAGCCAGCTCAAATTTTTCGGCAAGATGATGGTACCAGATGGTAACTGCATCACAAGGGCACAAAAACTTACAATGCACAAAGCAAGAACAATGCTGTAATGTCGCTCTCTCTGAGCACGCTGGCTAAGGCGATGCTCTTCGAAGGTTACGCTGCTGAATTCGTTGAGATTGGTCGGCATTTGATTAACAACGGTTACTAGCACTAAAACAGTTAACATAATTAATCCCATACAAGGCAAAAACAGGGCGATAACCCACGAAGCCACCATGGCGCTTTCCGTTAAAGCGTAAATGCACATAAAATGTAGCCTAATGGTGTTTACTTCACAAAATAACCATATTGGAACTATAATAATAGAACTCAAAACCCAAGGAATTGCCAGATAGATGCAGCGATGTGGTAGTTGATTAAATAATCTGTAATAGAATGATGGCCTCATGGCGAATATCAATCTGTCAAAATAAAGCAACATGATTCCCAGAAAGGCTGCAAAAGGTAACATCACATCCAGGATTAACCAGGCTTCGCACATCGTTTGTCCTAGCTTCCACTGTTCAAATTCATAATAAATAGTCAGTGTATTCACCAATGCACTTGTTAAGAGATCTATCACGGCAATGTTAGTAATCTGAATCATGACAAATTGTCTCCGAGTTCTACGAAAACATAGAATGAAGAAGATTAAGAGAAGATTAACAGCAATGTTCCACACACAGATTGAGATTCCAACTTTAGCACTATTGATAAATCCGCGCTCATGAGAACTGTTGGCATACGAACTCAGGTCGAATTCTGCCACACCAGGATCTGACTTTAACGTTTTATTCGAATTCATCATCTGAAATAAAAAGAAGAACGAGTTAGAATTACACAACCCCTCCAATAGTACTGAAAATGAAAAGCGTCGAACAGATAGGTCATCACTTTTATATGGTTCTGATTCGTATTTTAGCCCTTAGATGGCTAATCGTGCAAATTTGGAATGAAAGGAAATGGGATTTAACGTCCTACTGCTCTGATCCGACTGGGATAATGATACGCCATACAGTGTGCTAAGGGGAAATTTTGCCCTACTGCCGAGGGTTCTTTTACGCGCACGCCAATTCTTTTACGTGCACCCCAATTCTTGTACATGCCAATTTATATATACTATTCAAAAAAAGTAGGGGATATTTGATTTTGGGGGCATAATACTAAAATATGCAAATGACTACGAAAAAAGTCACTATAGAACCTAACAGAAGAAACATTTCCAGTTACATGTGACGCCCAAACGCTCCAAAAGCTACCGCATGGAATGCAGGTGATGCTTGGGATCATCATGGGGGTCCAACCCAAGATTTGCACGACTCTGACTTTGAATGTTACAGTCATTGTGGCATTGAATTCCAGGGTGGAAACATCAGTTTAATTGTTTTAGTGACCAGAAAACAAATTTTGATATGCGTCGGCTTACCCAAAATGAAAGGTTACGTGCCCTTGGCATGCTACAAATCGGCACAACACAGGCGGTTGTGGCGCGGACGATGAATGTTTCTCAGTCTGTCATAAGCAGGCTATGGTCCAGATACCGTGATACACAATCTGTACAGGACAGACCACGCTCAGGTCGACCAAGGGCGACAACTCAAGCCCAGGATCGATTTATCCGTACCTTGGCCTTGAGAAATCGTGTCATCACAGCAAATCAGATCAGCGCTCGTCTTCAAACAGACACTGGTGTGAGAGTGAGTGGCCAGACGATTCGGAATCGACTGCATAGGGGTCACCTTCGCGCCCGACGTCCTCGCGTGATCCCTTGTTTGAGAGATCATCACATTCAGGCAAGACGTCGTTGGTGTAGGGATCGTCAACACTGGGATAATCGACGCTGGAGCAATGTGATGTTTTCAGATGAGTCAAGGTTCACTGTTGATTTGTTGGACAGACGTAGGAGGGTGTGGCGTCGTCGAAACGAGCGCTTCCAAGACGTTAACGTCATCAGACATGATCGATTTGGGGGTGGTTCTGTTATGGTGTGGGGAGGCATCACTGTTGCTGGAAGAACGGCTTTACATGTTGTTGCAGGGCGTGTTACAGGCCAGTACTACCGGGACAACATCTTGGCAGTCCATGTTGTGCCGTTCGCACGACGTCATGGCCGCCGTTTCATCTTCCAGGATGACAACGCAAGATGTCACAGGGCCAGGATCGTTACAGGTTACCTCCAACAACAGAACATCACCACATTACCTTGGCCAGCACTGAGTCCCGACCTCTCCCCCATCGAGCATGTCTGGGACATGCTTGGACAGAGGTTACGTCAACGTCAACAACGTCCTGCCAATGTCCAAGAACTTGCTGCTGCGTTGCAACAGGAATGGGACAATCTGGACCAAAATGACCTTAGACGTCTCATTAGGAGTATGCCACGTCGGATCAATGCTTGTTTGGCAAACAGAGGAGGATTTACCCGTTACTGACTTGGTTGTGATGCTGTGGTAACTTTGCTGTTTGACCCCGGGTATCATTTTACCCTTATAATGGTCAGTCTGTGCCTTACTTAGTCTAACGATCATTTGGAATAAATCGATGAATGTGAACTTCATTTCATTTTGTCATTTGTTTCTTCGTCAGTTTCATTAGGTGACTTTAATAACACTTAAAAATCAAATATCCCCTACTTTTTTTGAATAGTATATCTATACAAGTGTTTTTAAGAATGGAATGTTAGATTCGTGAATTAGATAGTCAATATGTGCAGATGGTATCAGCGTTCAAACTTGAGGTAGACATTCCAAGTCTCGTTAATATTTGTTTACTTGTTATTGAGTTAAAAAAATCGATAACTGTTCGGAGGTTGTATAATGCAAAATGAATATATTGAAAATTTCATTCAAATTACTTTATTTTGAGCGACGAAGTTATCAATATTTGTAGTTTTGATAAGACGTGTGTATTGATTGTTTATTATCGTAACCATGGTGCTGGTGAGTCAGATTTAGGCTCGCTTTTCCATTCTTAAATTAAATCATTAAAATGGGCGAACCGTTCTAATCTACTTAGAATCGGAACCATCCGATGGCATCGATAGTTGATTATGGTTTTGTCATGTTAATAAATGGCTAATCAATAATCTATATAACATTTAAGGCCCAAAGACAGACATGCAATAGGCCTATGTAGCTCTTGAATAATGCCTTTTTAAGTGAATGTGATAGTCAAAGTCCATTTAATAGAGGGGGGGGGGGGCAAATGGTTAGCACGTGCGTGCTGTATCATTAGGTCTGTCATTGAGTCAACTGGCGTGGTTTCGATTCCCCAGTTGTACATGATAAGGAGTAGAGTCGCCTGTCCAATCTCGTGGGTTTTCTCCTGGTCCTCCGCCCCCCCCCCCCCCACACTGCTGAAGACCCCCTACGCGCAAGCGAATTATTGAAATAAAATTGAACCATATGTTAGTTCCGAAATGGCCTTGTTTTTGTCGAGTGCACGTTAAACCCCATTTCTCCCAACTTAAAGGAGATAAGTTTGTAACTCACTATATTCCATAATATTCGAAATTAAAAACACGTATTAGAATTCATTTTGTAATGAACAAATAAAAACATATCCTACAACTGTTACGTCACTTAAAACAAGGCCAGAAATAACCTATTCATGAAATACGCCCCGGCAGCAGAAATTATAGAAAACGTCAATGTACAATTAATAACATGATTTATTACAGTGAACGATAAACAACAATCACAAACATGGTAATACGAGAGAATCATACAAAAACATAAGTAACGGACTTGTAATGGACATTAAATATTAGACAGTATTATTAATTATATATACTATTCAAAAAAAGTAGGGGATATTTGATTTTTAAGTGTTATTAAAGTCACCTAATGAAACTGACGAAGAAACAAATGACAAAATGAAATGAAGTTCACATTCATCGATTTATTCCAAATGATCGTTAGACTAAGTAAGGCACAGACTGACCATTATAAGGGTAAAATGATACCCGGGGTCAAACAGCAAAGTTACCACAGCATCACAACCAAGTCAGTTACGGGTAAATCCTCCTCTGTTTGCCAAACAAGCATTGATCCGACGTGGCATACTCCTAATGAGACGTATAAGGTCATTTTGGTCCAGCTTGTCCCATTCCTGTTGCAACGCAGCAGCAAGTTCTTGGACATTGGCAGGACGTTGTTGACGTTGACGTAACCTCTGTCCAAGCATGTCCCAGACATGCTCGATGGGGGAGAGGTCGGGACTCAGTGCTGGCCAAGGTAATGTGGTGATGTTCTGTTGTTGGAGGTAACCTGTAACGATCCTGGCCCTGTGACATCTTGCGTTGTCATCCTGGAAGATGAAACGGCGGCCATGACGTCGTGCGAACGGCACAACATGGACTGCCAAGATGTTGTCCCGGTAGTACTGGCCTGTAACACGCCCTGCAACAACATGTAAAGCCGTTCTTCCAGCAACAGTGATGCCTCCCCACACCATAACAGAACCACCCCCAAATCGATCATGTCTGATGACGTTAACGTCTTGGAAGCGCTCGTTTCGACGACGCCACACCCTCCTACGTCTGTCCAAAAAATCAACAGTGAACCTTGACTCATCTGAAAACATCACATTGCTCCAGCGTCGATTATCCCAGTGTTGACGATCCCTACACCAACGACGTCTTGCCTGAATGTGATGATCTCTCAAACAAGGGATCACGCGAGGACGTCGGGCGCGAAAGGTGACACCTATGCAGTCGATTCCGAATCGTCTGGCCACTCACTCTCACACCAGTGTCTGTTTGAAGACGAGCGCTTACCTGATTTGCTGTGATGACACGATTTCTCAAGGCCAAGGTACGGATAAATCGATCCTGGGCTTGAGTTGTCGCCCTTGGTCGACCTGAGCGTGGTCTGTCCTGTACAGGTTGTGTATCACGGTATCTGGACCATAGCCTGCTTATGACAGACTGAGAAACATTCATCGTCCGCGCCACAACCGCCTGTGTTGTGCCGATCTGTAGCATGCAAGAGCACGTAACCTTTCATTTTTGGTAAGCCGACGCATATCAAAATTTGTTTTCTGGTCACTAAAACAATTAAACTGATGTTTCCACCCTGGAATTCAATGCCACAATGACTGTAACATTCAAAGTCAGAGTCGTGCAAATCTTGGGTTGGACCCCCATGATGATCCCAAGCATCACCTGCATTCCATGCGGTAGCTATTGGTGCGTTTGGGCGTCACATGTAACTGGAAATGTTTTTTCTGTTAGGTTCTATAGTGACTTTTTTCGTAGTCATTTGCATATTTTAGTATTATGCCCCCAAAATCAAATATCCCCTACTTTTTTTGAATAGTATATTAAAGAATCAGTTCCTAACACACATGTTTGTCAACACACATTCCGATGTCACGTGGGTCGAACTATTCTGGAATCTGCGTTGATGCTGGAATCTTCTACTCTATCGCGAATTACTTACTATAATCATGAAACGAACTTGATACGAGTTATCAACGATGATTTAGACATATTACCGAACATTCACACGGTATAAAATAATACAATAACTTATATCTAACTATGCAATGAAAGAATTTACACACGAAACTTCACAACAAATCTCCACCATGCCGCTGGTTGCCATGCCTCTGCCGCAACCCCAGCATCACGAATCACACCACAACTTTAGTAACAACAATGAACTGATTATTCATTATAATCATAGAGACAATTATACACACATAACAATATCATGTAATACATGACACCTCCCCCCTTTAAAAAAGTTTAAATGTAATGTAAACTTTAAATGTAACACGTAATTTACTCTAGATAAGGTATCAGGTATAACATTATCTCTACCTTTTATATGTTTAATAACAATGTTGTATTCTTGTAACATTAAACTCCATCTGAGCAACCTCTGGTTCTTATTTTTCATTTTATGAATAAAAGTAAGTGGGTTGTGATCTGTACATACAATTACAGGATATAAAGTTGTTCCCAAATAGAAATCAAAGTGTTGCAGAGACAGTATTAATGCCAAGCATTCTTTTTCAATGGTAGAGTAATTCTTTTGATATCTATTAAATTTCTTTGAAAAATAACATATAGGATGTTCAATGTCATTTACATCATTCTGAGACAAAACTGAACCTGCACCTGTATCACTTGCATCTACCGAAAGTTTAAACTGTTTAGTAAAATCTGGTATGATAAGAATTGGAGAGGTGATTAGTATGGCTTTAAGTTTATCAAACGCTTTCGCACATTGATTAGACCAAATAAATTTAGCATCTTTTTTTAATAAATCTGTCATGGGATTAGCAATAACTGAAAAATTTGGACAAAACTTCCGATAATAACCAGCCATACCTAAAAATCTCATCATTTCTTTCTTATTATTCGGCTGAGTAAAATTTACAATAGCTTCAACTTTTGCTTTAATAGGTTTTACTTGTCCTTGACCTACAATATGGCCTAAATATTCTACAGTAGCATGACAAAATTCACTTTTCATGAGATTTACAGTTAATGTAGCATCAGATAATTTCTTAAATAAAGCATCTGACTGATTCTTGTGCTGTTCCCATGTATCACTATAAGTAATAATGTCGTCAATATACCCCTCACAATTTTGTAAATCGGCAATAATTCCGTTAACTAATCTTTGAAAGGTAGCTGGTGCGTTTTTCATACCAAACGGCATTACTTTATACTGAAAAAGACCATCTGGTGTTACAAAAGCTGATACCCTTTTAGCCCTTTCCGTTAATGGAACCTGCCAATATCCCTTTAAAAGATCGAATCTACTAACAAATTGTGCATCACCAATTTTATCAATACAATCATCTATTCTAGGGATAGGAAATGAATCAGTTATTGAAACAGAATTAACTTTTCTAAAGTCTGTACAAAAACGATATGACTTATCAGGCTTTGGAACTAATATGCATGGTGAACTCCAGTCACTGTAACTGGGTTCAATAATGTCATTTTCCAACATATACTTAACTTCATTTCTCAAATGTTCCAATTTAAGAGGATTTAAACGGTATGGGTGTTGTTTAACAGGTACAGCCCCATCCACGTCAACATCATGATATATAGCCTCCGCTTTACTTGGAACATCAGGAAATAAATGTATGTATTTATGTATTAAAGATTTTAACTCATCTTTTTCAACATCACTTAAATGATTAAGTTTAGTATCTAAATTTGAAAGTATAACAGAATTCTTTAATTTAATATCACATTGTATAGGTTCTATAACTTCTTGTTCATCATTCGACAAAACAGCAGATAAATTAGCAAATGAAATGAAATGAAATGAAATGGGGTTTAACGTCCTACTGTTTTGCTCCGAACTGGGCTAATGAAGACGGGCATACGCCATACAGTGTGCTATGAGGGAAATTTTGCCCGGACAGCGGCACTACGGCCTACTCTTATATCGAATTCCAACTGTCAAGGGATCTTTAACGTGCACGCCAATGTGTACACGGGACCTCGGTTTTTCGTCCCATCCGAACGACTAGACAGCTGTCCTTGTCAGCCCCTCCGTCCTGCATCACAGATAAATTAGCAACAGGTCTACTGATGTTTGAAGTTTCTCTCTCAATATATGGCTTTAACATGTTAATATGACATAACTGGTTTTGTTTTCGACGACCAGGCGTTTTAATAACATAATCTAAGTCACTAACTTTAGATTCAACTTCATAAGGACCGTGATATCGGGCCTGTAGCGGACTACCAGGAATAGGTAAAAAGGCAAGCACCTTGTCACCAGATTTAAAATTACGATTCTTGGCTTTCTTGTCATACCAGTATTTCATTTTGACCTGGCTATTTTTAAGATTTTCTTTGGCAATTTCACATGCTCTTTTAAGTCTTTCTTTAAAACTAACAATATAATCTAACATATTGATATTAGTATCATCACCTAACCATTTCTCTTTAAGAAATGTAAGCGGTCCCCGCACTGAGTGGCCAAATACTAATTCGAATGGGCTGAATCCAAGGGACTCCTGAACGGCTTCTCGAGCGGCAAATAAAAGAAGATGGACGCCTTCGTCCCAATCTCTTTTGTGCTCTAAACAATATGACCGAATCATATTTTTTAAAGTTTGGTGGAAACGTTCAAGCGCCCCCTGCGATTGAGGGTGATATGCACTAGATTTAAATTGATTAATATCTAACTGATGCATGACTTGCTGAAACAAATTAGACATAAAATTAGATCCTTGATCTGACTGTATAGATTTAGGTAAACCAACTAATGTGAAAAATTTAATTAAAGCTTTCACTATATTTGGCGTTTTAATATTTCTAAGAGGAATCGCCTCTGGAAAACGAGTGGAGGCACACATAATTGTTAAAAGGTATTCATTGCCTGTTTTTGTTTTAGGAAGTGGTCCCACACAATCGATAAGTACTCTACTAAAAGGTTCTTCAAATGCTGGGATGGGATACAGAGGCGCGATAGGAATTATCTGATTAGGCTTTCCAACAACCTGACAGTTGTGACATGACTTGCACAATTCAACAACATCCTTTTTCAGATTCGGCCAATAAAAATGGTTTAAGATCCTTTGGTAGGTCTTGTTAACTCCCAAATGACCAGCCATGGGCAAATCATGGGCTAAACTTATAACCTCTTGACGATATAATTTTGGCACAACAATCTGATGAACAACCTTCCACTCATCACTAACATTCGCATCTGGCGGTCTCCATTTCCTCATCAAAACATTATCATTTTTATAAAAACAAATAGGGACATTCTCCACCTCGTCTAAAGATAAACACTGACCATAACAATTGACAAGATCAGGGTCATTTCCTTGTTCAATAATTAATTCAGAACGACTTAAAGGGTCTGGACCTAAACCTTCAAGATTATTAGGGTGAAAAGAGGTACTGTCGTGTAAAATAGGAACTTGGTCCTTATCAAATGAAGCATCAAACTGAATATCAGGAATATTCGCCATAAAAGTGTCCTCTAACACATAAGAATCTTCATTAATAGACATATCCTCATTAAGAGATTTCTTTTCAGACATCTTACTCATAGCCCTAGTAACTGCACAAGCAGGGTAAGTAAATAAATCAGAATCCTGATTATCGTGAACAGGCTTTTCAAAAGAAGGATTATTTGATAGAATCGGGTTAACAATAACTTTATCACCCGCTAAGTCATTCCCTAGTAATAAATCTATACCTTCTACAGGAAGAGTAGGTCTAATACCCACAGTAACACGCCCAGAAACTAAATCTGACTTTAAGTTAATATCATGAAGAGGTACACTAACAAAGCCCAAATCAACACCCTGAATAAGAACATTAGCATCTACAGAAGACTTTGATGAAAAGGGTAAAACTTTTTCTAACATCAAACTTTGTGAAGCTCCTGTATCACGTAATATCCTAAGGGTTTTTAAATTGGCATCGTCACCTACAAGTGACACTAATCCTTCAGACACAAAAGGCTTAAACTCCTCAATAATAAATTCAGACGCAGCATTATCAACAACCTTTTCAGGGAAGTTTAATTTAATTGGCGCTTCAGGGCTTTTTAATGAAACACAAGCACTGGATTTTAAACTAGTATTTTTATTTTATTTTCTTTGAAGAATCCAGCACTCTGAAATAATATGCCCTTTTTTATGACAATAAGAACATACAGGTATTTTATGATGATCCACCCCTTTATATGCTTCTGGCTTAGGCCTAACAGTGCTATCACTATTTGACTTGACTTTATCATAAGTTTGAGGGTTAAAGGGTGATCTACTCTGAATTACTTTATTTGGGGTATAATGAGAGGTAGCGGCATGGGGAGATTTGTCTAGCCTTTGGCTACTTTTAGTAGAAATTAAATCATGTGTGAGTGAATAGTCATCAGCCATTGTAGCTGCTTCACTTAGTGTGCTTACTTTATGTTCGTCTAGAAATGTTCTAATATCAACATGTATACAATGTTTAAATTCTTCTAGTAACATAAGTTGTCTAAGTTTACTAAAGTTTCTATTAATTTCTTTAGAATCAAGCCACCTATCAAATAAGTGTTCTTTTACTCTGGAAAATTCTACATGTGTTTGTTCATTAACTTTGATTGAATTTCTAAATTTTTGTCTATATGCCTCTGGGACTAAAGCATAGGCATTAAGAATTGCATGTTTGACTGTATCATAATTAGAACTTTGTTCAAGGGACATAGCTGAAAATATTTCTCTAGCTTTACCTAATAATACACTTTGTAATAATAGTGTCCAATTTTCTTTTGGCCATTTTAAACTAGCAGCTATCTTTTCAAAATGTAAAAAATACTGATCTATTTCCTTTTCTTGAAATTTAGGAACTAATCTGATATGCTTTGCTGCATCAAAATGATTTAATAATGACTGCTGTGTGGAGTGTGACTGATTTGCCAATTCAATTTCTTTTATCTTAATTTCCTTTTGAATTTCTAATTCTTTAATATGTACTTCTTGCCTTTGTTGTAATTCTAGTCGTTTTAACTGATGTTGAAATTCTAACTCTTTTAATTTTAAAACATCTACATCACCTGGTATCTCACTAATTAAATCTAAGGCATGTTCATCAAAAATATTATTATCAACCAAGGTTTTAAGTACTGCATTTTTAATTATGTTCTTTCTCATAGATTGATTTACTTTAACTTTGAAATGAATGGCAAGTTCTAACAATTCAACCTTCTTTAATCCGTCAAACTCCACCAGAGTTGGTTTTGACAAAAATGTTTGGACAGTAAACACCATATTGACTTTCTACTTTCTGCTGATTTATAAATATACCAAAACACAAATCTGTGTATTATAAATTTCGTTTACATAAGAAATTTAACTAATATCATAAATATATACGGATTATCCCGGACTTAAGCCCCCAATTTCTGTTACGTCACTTAAAACAAGGCCAGAAATAACCTATTCATGAAATACGCCCCGTCAGCAGAAATTATAGACAACGTCAATGTACAATTAATAACATGATTTATTACAGTGAACGGTAAACAACAATCACAAACATGGTAATACGAGAGAATCATACAAAAACATACGTAACGGACTTGTAATGGACATTAAATATTAGACAGTATTATTAATTATATATTAAAGAATCAGTTCCTGACACAAATGTTGGTCAACACACATTCCGATGTCACGTGGGTCGAACTATTCTGGAATCTGCGTTGATGCTGGAATCTTCTACTCTATCGCGAATTACTTACTATAATCATGAAACGAACTTGATACGAGTTATCAACGATGATTTAGACATATTACCGAACATTCACACGGTATAAAATAATGCAATAACTTATATCTAACTATGCAATGAAAGAATTTACACACGAAACTTCACAACAAATCTCCACCATGCCGCTGGTTCCCATGCATCTGCCGCAACCCCGGCATCACGTGGTCACCAGCACGCGCTCGTCTTGATTAAAAAGTCTCTAAATTCTGCAACAATGCTAGCAGACGAATCACACCACAACTATTATTCATTATAATCATAGAGACAATTATACACACATAACAATATCATGTAATACCTGACACAACACAATGTGGAAGTAATTAGTAAAGTCATCTCGAATTTTATCCCTTGCTTTAAGCATTTGGCAAAAAATGGAAAATTGTGACATTTTGGCCGCTATTTTTTGTGTCCTTATCGGGTTTCGGCGACCTCAAAAATCCCGCTTATGTGTCAGACGCTCTAATACACTTTTCAATTTTTCGATTACATACCTAAATACAGAATAAGGCTTATTTGTGTATCATTTTATTAGACACCAACAGTTCACAGTGTGCATGCCAGATCAATATTTAAAACATCGCTTTCTATCCGATCCCAGCAAAAAGTGACCGACATGGAAATATATGTTATAGATTTGCATGTTCTACACATCATATAGATATGTATTTTCAACGCATCACATCCAAAAATCAAATGATTTCATAAATAATTATAATAATTATGGACAATTGAAATATGGACAAAAACAATCTTAGTTATCACCGGAAAGAACTTAAAAGAATGGGGGTGGGGTTATGTATAACTCTTGTGCAATGAAAATGATGTTCGAAGATGTTAGACATTTTTACCGGTCATTTGTCGAAGAGGCAAAGTCACAGCAATAATCCAACATATTAGTATTTGATCTACCTGTTTTTCTAATACCATACTCCCATTAACATCCCGATTGTCTTTGACGATTTATTTTAGCCAACAAATTCTAGAGAATTTTACGATTTCAATGAAAACAAAAGTATGTAGTTTGGTACCAGTCTCACCATGAATGGCGGGTCTGTACAACCGTCTTTTCCGTGCCATTTGGATTGGCCTGCGTAGTGGGAAATTACAGATTTTTTCTAGGAGTTTCTTGAGTTCTATCTTTCAAATATATTTCGATTAATCTTTCACATACTGACAAAAAGGGATGCAAAAATATACGACCATATTTAAATGAGTTCAAATGCAAAATTGTATCTTAAAACATTTGTTTTGTGGACAATGTTCTGTAATATTAAGAGGATCCTAAAATTATTTTTTTTAATATCCGGCATATTGAAGAACTAAAATGCTTTGCCAATTTAATGATTCACATCTAAACACCACAATTGTTTAAAATTGTAGCGCTGTTAAGCCGGAATGAAATCCAATATATCATATGAGAATCGAATGCTTCAAGCAAATATATGTCTGACAATAGGAAATAAATGTGCAAACGTCTATAAATAGCAGAGAAAATTGTAAAATTGAATCAAATTATTCATAATATTAAATACAAATACCTTCAGCACAAACATCCTACACTTTTAATATTGCCGTTTACAATTGTCTATATATAAGAAATACAGTCGGTCTTAATCGTTAGTAAAAACGGACTGAAATGAAATGGGGTTTAGCATACCTAATTGTCAAGGATTCTATTACGTGTACGCCAATGTGTACACGGCACCTCGGTTTTTCGTCCCATCTGTGCTGCACTACTGACAAGGGGAACCACGCCGGAAAACCCAGAGGAAATTTCTCGGCAAACACCGGGATTGAATCCGGGACCTCCAGGTTAGCGAGCCAGCATCTCTTTGTCTACTACTAATTGAGTCACCACGGTTCCTATAGCCTTACTAGATAAAAAAAATCCGAAGTTTCTATGAATAGTTTATTTTGCAAAGAACTTTAGGAATATTGAATCTTCGGCCTATTCTTTAATCCCCTTGATGATGTTCCTATCATTACCATCATCATCAATATATTTACCTGTAATAAGAGGGATAAACACAGGTGCCAGAAGCTAATGATAAAGAACAAACAGGGTATGTCATTATAGATATCTTTGATGTTATTTACGGTATACCTAAATTTAATAAGATTGGGCATATCTTTGATGTCTATATAAATAACTAATGGTATTAAAGTTTAGTGAAAGAAATCGTGCCTGTAGCAAAAAATAACATGTTTATCAGTTTGAATATTTTAATGTGACTCCATACGAAATTCTTTAAACACTTTGGAACAAACGTGAAACGTAATAAGAATGTTGGGGGGGGGGCGTAATTTTGCTACGTATAGGCTTGGGGCGAGGTAGGACTATCATTACATATGGTACATTGTGATCTTTGACTTTGTTCATTAGCTTAGTTGCTCGGCGTTACATAGGTGAAAAATTTTCATTTTTCTAATATCAATAATAACCCAATAATCATTGAGGGCCATTTCATATTTCATCATTAAATACTGTACAGAATACAAAAAGTCATAAATACACAAAACTTCAACTGTTTGGTTTTCTACAGCGAACATTAATATATATGTTATAGAAAATTTATGAAGAATTCTGAGATTGCACGCCTTTATTTTCTACTCGAACACTAATAAATTACCATATGTTTTTCTGTCCATAATCTTTTACACATCGCATCTAAAATATACCAATACGTGTGGCCAATGCAGATATGAGTTTTATAAAGGGCGATTACTTCTTTTAATGTAATAACTTGTTGGATTTTTTAAACAAATAACAAAAACGAAGCCATCAAATAATGTTACTTTCATAGGGTTTTCATAAAGGCCATATTGTTGTATATTCAGTAGTAATTTATAATGCATGCGTTTTGAAAATCCACAATTAGACATCAAATTATATCAATAGTCTAACTATTCAACTATATAACTTTTGGAAATGTCTGTATTGACGACTATGCTATCTAGTAAACTTGTAACTGAAATAAAATAAATTTTAACTTTAAGAATAATACAGGACTAATGTGATATTATTTGTGTATTTTAGGTAACTGGAGAAGCTGATGAGACTCAGTTAAAAGAGACATTAAAACGTTATGTGTCACGTTGCATGTATATACAGAGAGCTTTGTATAGGTTATTTAGTTTCTCACAACATATGACAGAACCTAGAGAAGATATTATCAGGGTATGTATATTGTAGATAGGGCTGGCAATCGATACCGATTTTAAATATCGATATCAGCAACCATTTCGGCAATATTGATATATCGCCATCGGAAAATTTTAAGTTGAAAGAAATAACTGTTTGTATGCTAATAATGCATTTAAATATGTTATTGATCAAATAAAAAAAACCTATGATCCTCGAACTATGTTTTCTTAATGTTTGCTTCGTTCACAACTTATCTGATGGTGTTATTAATAAAAAAAGTATTAGCAGCTTCGTGCTCGCCATCAATCACTGTTGACAATTTTCCTCGGCCGCTTATAACAATAAATAAATTTCTATTAAAATCGATTTATTTCCCATGAACAATTAATTAATTATTCATTGCCATTGTTGTAAATGACCGCAAAATTTACTGGTGCGGTTGTTGTACCTTCCCTAGTGTGCATGTTTTTATGTTTTGTGTGTTTTGAATGATATGACGGTGATTATTTGAAACAAATCATTCCGTTAATTGTATTTTATTGAAGCTCCTTTATTTTTTATACAAGTATTGATATCAAGAACTGAATATCGATATCAATATTTTCCCGTAGTCGCCGACGATTATCGGCTATATAATCGATATTTTTCGCCAGCTCTAATTGTAGATAGATTAATATTAGGGATTCAACCAGATAAATATAAAAGGGTTGCATGACCAATTATTATTTCAAAAAATAAAAAATAACAACATCCTCATTGATTACCACATGTTCTTTATTCCATCGGTAAAAGGGAGTGACTCTTTTAATGAATTCCTCTCAAAATGACAATCTATCTCTCTTAATTTTATTATACAATGTATGTATTATATGTATCAGTTGACTCACATATTTTAATACTGAATTAGTTATAAACTGAAATATTTTGTTGGTCTATTGTATTTTTTAGTTGGTTATTTCTGCAATGAAGGCTCATCCTAAACAGTTAGGTGTACAGATGGCAGCCACAGCTTGTTTGTATAATTTATCTAAGAGTGAACTCGGTCCTAAGATTCACCCTATGTGTTTAAGAGATATTGTTGAATTAACTTTAAAAGCTTTGGAACAATTCCCTAGTCACCAACAGGTTAGTTCTTATACATGTTCAGTGTATATAAATTGTATCCCTTTTTAAGCCAGATTTCTCTTTGTAGGATTTCAGAAGGTCTCTTAAAGTGCAACTATACAAGGCAAGCTTAAACATAAGTCAACTGTCACATACTTTGAAATGGTCATAAATTATCACACAACCTATATATTATAAATGATAATTTGGGTCCGACAATGTCAATACATGCCAACATCATGCCACTCCTTTTGGTGTTACAAGAATAAAATATTGTTTTTTTAGCTACAGAAGAATGCTTTGTTAACTTTATGCAGTGATAGAATGTTACAAGATGTGGTGAGTTGTTTTCTGTGATTATTATTGGTCTAAATTGATATCTATTTATCATGACCTATTCAAGGTTTATCTAAACATTTCACTGATTAGGGTCATTCATGTGACCTCTGGTTGGAAGTTCCTCTAAATGTGATCAAATATACTAAAAACAAAATCAGTTATATCTTCGATACATATTGCAGAAACTGATTTTTAATCTTGTTGTTTATGGTTTTTTTTGGGTTTTTTTTTAGTCGTTCGATCGTTACAAGTGTGCAAAACTAGTCATGGGTTGTTTATGTGCTTTTGATGATCCTAGTATGAACCGAATGTCTGTAGCTATCTGTTCTATTTTAGCTGCTAAAGTGAGTCCATTATGATTTCTTTGTGAAGTGAATACATGTATCATGATAAGAAAAATGAATATGTGGTTATAACTTAACGGAGGTCGACAAACTTGTCGAGAAGTTGCATTCTATGTATTGGACATTGTTAAGGCTATAGTGATAGTGTGATGGACTCTTGTGACCAGAGAGTTTGGAGAAGAACTTTCTGACCCAATTCATCATTGCAGTGCTAGGATAGATCAGAAAAATCAGAGAAGAAGTCAGATTTTTTTTTTATTGTTATTTAGTAGGCAATATTAAATAATGTCTTATCAGCTAGTTATTCAGGGGGGAGTCACGTGGCTAAGTGGGTAAGACGCTGGCTCGCTAGCCTGGAGGTCGGGTGTTCTATCTCTGCATTGGCCGAGAAAGTTCATCCAGATTTTCCGGCGTGGTTCCCCCTTGTGAGTGATACAGGACGGAGGGCCTGGCAAGGACAACTGTCTAGTCCTTCGGATGACACGAAAAACCGAGGTCCTGTGTATACATTAGAATGCATGTAAAAGATCCCTTGGCATTTGGAATTCGATATAAGAGTGGGCGATAGTGCCGCTGCCCGGGCAAAATTCCCCTGATAGCACACTGTATGGCGTATGCCCGTCTTCATTAGCCCAGCATAGGAGCAGAACAGTAGGACGTTAAACCCCATTTCATTTCAGTTATTCAGGGTTCGTTTTTGGGTAGCTGTCTGTTTGTTTAGTATACTTATTGACAGAAGAACTGATCAGTAAGTGATATGTTAACTCGTTGATTAAATTTCCACCTTTATTTATTAATTACAGATATCTACAGAAGAAACTTCAGTACTCGGAGCAAAATCTAGATATATGAAGAAATTACTTGGTCTGGTTAAACAAAAAGTCGATAATCAGTTAATTGATATTACTCTCAAATTCACTCAGTGCTCTATGGAACCTCACAGGTAAATACTCTCAAATTCACACTCAGTGCTCTAGGGAACCTCACAGGTAAATACACTCAGATTTACACTCGGTGCTCTGTGGAACCTAACAGGTAAATACTATCAGATTTACACTCACAGTGGATAATCAGTTAATTGATATTACTCTCAAATTCACACTCAGTGCTCTATGGAACCTCACAGGTAAATACTCTCAAATTCACACTCAGTGCTCTATGGAACCTCACAGGTAAATACACTCAGATTTACACTCGGTGCTCTGTGGAACCTAACAGGTAAATACTATCAGATTTACACTCACAGTGTTCTATGGAACCTCACAGGTAAATACTCTAAAATTCACACTCAGTGCTCTATGAATCCTCACAGGTAAATACTCTCAGATTTACACTCGGTGCTCTATTGAACCTCACAGGTAAATACTCTTGGATTTATACTCGGTGCTCTATTGAACCTCACAGGTAAATACTCTTGGATTTATACTCGGTGCTCTATTGAACCTCACAGGTAAATACTCTTGGATACTCTATGAAACCTTTAGCAGAACAGTAGGACATTAAACCCCATTTCGAATATCCACTTGGTGCTCTACCTAATCTCACAGGAAAATAGTTTCAATGTCCACTCAGTGCTCTGTTAGATCTCACTAAAACTCAAATCTATACTAAGTAGCCTACTCAATGGAGCATAACAGGTAAATAGGACCTATTCTCAAATTTAAACTCAATACATTGTGGATTGTTCCATACTCATTATTTATTATCATGATAGTATGCATGTGTAGAAAGAATTATTTTTTTTGATGCTCTGTGTCATTGACTTGTATTGATCTTCTTTCTTTTTATTTTCAGATGAGTCTCCTCCAACATGTAGAGTTTTTCTTTCAGAAAAGGGCTTGGAACTGTTTATGACAACATTACAGGTATAGATGTACTATTATCTTCAATTTTAATTTTATTTTCCTTACTATATTGATGGTCAGTGTGATAATTGCATTTTTGCATATAGATTATTCAGCTGAAGTAAAACAATGTACTATTATTATAATGGTTACTTGTAACATTTTTAACAGGTTGTTGGAAATCTAGAGACAGAGAATCGAGTTCAGGTTGAAACTAAGATATTAGGATTATTGGTGAGTAACTAAACACTTTTATAGGGATATTTGCTGATCTGTTCAGCATCAGTTGTCCTTTAAAACAATGAGGCTTTAATGAAAAGATGAGCTGGGTCCTATTAAAAGGGATATACACAAGTTTTTGTAGTTGAACAGATATTGATTCCAAGTAGTACCCAGGCAAATAGTGATTTTTGGGTGTCATATATTGGATTATACCCATACTTTTTCTCGACTCTTTGATGAAAATGGGAGGGTATCAGTTGAAAAGTATCAGTTGAAAAGTGGCCGTGTATCAGTTGAAGAGGGACAAAAATAACAAAATCATGATTTACATATTTATTTGAACATCTACAACCCGTTTTGAACATGTTATGGTAAAAAAAGTCATCATTTTCAATAGTCTCAGCACTTTTCAAATGTGCGTCACTCTCAGTCAGATTCTTACATTTTGTATCACTTTTCTTTACATTTTGATATCTAGTCGCACTTTCACATTTTGTCGCACTTTCACATTTTGTCGCGGCTTATGCTCATCCGCAGCACATAATCCAAATACTTTACTATTATAAATTAATCTCTTGGCATTTTGAACACTATTACTAGTATAAATTAATCCATTGGCATTCGCTACACTACAAACTTGAGAACTCTACAATTCCAACTCGTCTTCATTTAATGGCTGTTCTTGTTTTTGTCTGTCAGTGGTGGATGTCAATACCTCGCGAAGTTAATGAATTGATCTGTGCGGAAATTAGCAAATGTACCTTGCTTATCAAAAAAGTTAAAATCCAATCTTTTGTACTGATCTCGAAGTGTCACCATATTCCTATGCAATTGGTATTTTTCCTCGTGTTTGGCAGAATTCGACTCATCTGCATGGCTTTAATTTCTTGTTCTGTGAAGGATCGGGCTTCTAAATCTTCGCGATCATTGAAATCTCTTGCAAAACTGATATTCTCGGTCTTAGAAATATATATCTGTGACATTATAAAGTAGGATTCTTCGACGAATTCCCGCTGTGCAGGCAAAATTTCCCTCATAGCACACTGTATGGTGTATGCCCATCTTCATTAGCTCAGTTATTCAGCTAGGAATTCTGAGACTGCCAACTCTTTTAGTTCTCATACAATAATTGAGATAAAAAATTATACAAAGTTTTCAATTAATAATTTCTATCCATTTGTAATTGTACTGTTTCAGTTTATGGCAAATGGTCTAGCAATATCACAATGGGTTGGGGGTGGAGGATGGTCTCGTGGTTTAATGAGTGCACGTGAAATCACAAGGCCTGTTATTGAGTGAAGTGGTGTGGTTTCGATTCCTGCTCGAACATGACAAGGAGTAGGGCCGCCTATATAACCTCAGGGTTTCTCCGGGCCCCCAGTCTTGCTCCCACAGATAAACACCTCTCTACGCGCCAGTGAATTACTGAAATAAAATTGAATCATATGTTAGTCCCAAAATAACTCAGTTTGTGTCAAATGGATGTTGAAACTCTCTCTCTCTCTCTCTCTCTCTCTCTCTCTCTCTCTCTCACACACACACTGGCTCAAGTTCAAACTCATCTATTAAAACACTCCTTTGTTACAAAATGACTGTTTTCCCTAGTCTGTGGTGCAGAAATGTAGGATGTTAAATCCCATTTCATTTATTCATTCAAAAATGACCCATAAGTAAAGTTACCAATAATATTATCTTATGTTTGTAAGGGTTTATTTATTTCAGTCAGTTATTAGATGCTGAACATATTGATGTAAGTTATTTTGCTGCTGGTATAGTAGCTCATCTTGCCAGTGATGGAGAAGAAACATGGGTGATATCTGGTACATTACGAATAGAGGTCTTGGAAAAACTTGTAAGTTCCTTTTCATACGCCCAATTTTTAATGTGGTCACATTTTATGCTTTCAGTGTATTGTTCACATTTGTTGTTAACATAATAGAGGTTACAATAATCCATATTGAAATCGATATTGCTTGTCTGTCTCATTAACTTTCAGCAATTACAATAATAATGTCCAGATTAGATTACATTATTATATAAAGATTTCAAATTATGATATTTCTGAAATTGACATTGGCTGCCTATCTTATAGAAAGGAAGAACATTATTTGATTTTATTCCCCCTTCTTACAAAATCTTGTTTGCCCTTTAAAGGTTTCAATTATGATTTTTCTATAAAAAAAATTATGATTCGTTTAACTCACAATGGTTTGGTTGACTTTGCTGTACAAAATTATTTTTAGCAGAAATATTTTCTTCATTCCATTCCCAACGAAACGTAGTGTCTTCAGTCAGTCGATTATGGTCTAAACCTACTTCCTTTGGTTTTTCACATGGGCTACCAAGAACCTTGAATTTGAAATCTTATCTTTCCTATTCATATTGTCACTAGATGTCCTCGCTTTTGCTTCCTTGTAAACATGTAATGTTTGCATGAGGGCGGTGCAGGGTAAAACTTGAAATAAGTTCTGTGCTGACAAATCCTTGACTGTGGTTAGATGTTGTTTATATTTTCAAATTTTGATTTTAATATTTAGATATTATTTATATTGACAGGGTCAAGTAGTTTTAAACTGGGAACAACCACAGGGTGAAATGGTAGCATATAGGTAAGATATTTTCTTTGATTGGCATTTAGTAATTGAACATATTAACACAAAGTACAATTTTATGGGTACACAATTACTGATTTTAATACAAAGCGATGTTTAAACGAGGATACTCTTCACCAGCTGCTTCCATATTTACTGCTGAACTTCTACAGGCTTTGGAGTATATCCAGTCCTCATCTATTTTAAAGGACAATATTGGTGTCAGTCATTATCACATATGTGATAGAACTAATTAAACACGTTCGAAATATAATTTTAACACAGAGATCATTGCTATGATAGCTGAGTAATACAGGTTTCCTGAATCGGAAGTGACTAACGCCAAAGGAAAACACGAGGCATCCCTCTTGAAAACTGACTGAAGTGACGAGTGATAACAGATACATGGGCGAATTTCTGCTCACTAATAATTCCTTCCAAGACCAAAAGTTGTTGTGTGAGACTGTGAGAGGATATCTGACAATTCATAAAAAGAATTGACTGCCACTAGATAAGAGAACACCAAAGAAAAACAGAAAAAAGTCTGTGCATTACCATGTTTTTATAAGGTATAGAATGAATATAAACAAGGGAATGTACGGACTATTTCTATTTTCTCGTGTTCTCTGTTTGCCATTTATTACCGTAAAACCCTCAGTGTCGCATCAAGGGAAGCGGGGAAAGCCCTCGCAACAGACAACACATGGTCATAGTGGAATTCCTAATGCATCATGCTTGGCTGGAAAACAAGCCAGTCGGGATAAAGACTTTATTATCTTGGCCGGAAAACTGGCCAGTCGGGTTCAAAAAGTTAATGCTTATGATTCCTATTTCTAATCTTAATCTGCTAGTGTATATATGGTGTATTTTGTATATATTTTCAGATCATTTAGTCCATTCTTTCCCTTGTTAATTTGTTATGATCTACCATCAGTTCAACTGTGGGCAGTTTGGGCCATAAATCATGTTTGTACTAAAAATGGTAAGTGGTATTTATATTATATTAAGCACTACTTATATTTTGGTTTACTAATACTATCCTCCAGTTCTGTTATAAATAATTGGCTAAAATTGTATAGTAAAAACTCAAAAAACTGACTACAGATTAGAATAATATCATGGTGAACAATTTCCCACAACCAGTTTTATTGTACAGGATGGAAAGATACAATATAAAAAGTAAACATTATATTCAATAAAAATCAATGTTATAAACACAGCTTTGTTTGAGATAATGCTGGCACAATATATATCGTTCTCACAATTCGTGTATTGAATCTGAGTTGCTGAATCGATTTTTCACATTTCCTTTTTATGTTTGTATAGATTCAGTAATTACTCTTAATTATCCATAGGTACACAAACCCTTTTGAATTGTTTTGGTCCTCATTTTGATCCACATCACTATCATGATATAAAACAGTTTTGTTTCTTCTGTTAGTTGACATCAGGGTCATCATATATACAAAGGTCAAGGGTCATTTAAAGGTTAGGTCACCAGAGAGAAGGTCAAAAGTCGAACAAAATTTCAAATGAAACCAGGATTGAACAAATCGAAATTCAAAAATCGCCTCCCTAAGAATAAAAACCATTACGAAAAGTATATGTGTTTCAGACCTTCGGTCAAAACACGTAATTACAAATCTCTGTCATTCTGTTTGAAAAAAGAAAATTAATCACACCATTGAACATGCGTTGCCAAGACTAGCACAAGCTTGGGCTAGAACTGATTGTTCAGATTGTACATTAAAGTTTCATTTAATCTGACTTTGGTAAGTAACACATGAATCGATGACAAAGTCTCAATTTTCATTAGTCCAGTTGGTACTGTATTTCATGACAGTTTCTTGCTTTGGTTCCATCATGTAGGAAATGAGGCAAAAACTGTCAGTTATTTCCGTTACAGATCCGAATTATAATGTAGTTAGGGCCCTATAATGTATTTGTTAAAGGCTCAATACCACACTTGTTGTAACTGAATAATATGTCCCAATCTTTATTCTGGTCAACAAATTGTACTATTTTAGAATATTTCAATTAATGGATGATACAAATTTCATCTTAACACACCTTATTTAAAAAATTTGAAAAATTCAACATAAGGGGGGGGGAGGGTGGATGGCTGAATGGTTAGCGTGCGCGCGCTGTATCATAAAGTCTGTCATTGAGTCAACTGGCGTGGTTTCGAATCCCTGGTTGTACGTGACAAGGAGTAGGGTCGCCTGTCCAACCTCGTGGGTTTTCTCCGGGTCCTCCGGTTTCCTCCCACTGCTAAAGACCCCTATGCGCAAGCGAATTATTGAAATAAAATTAAACCATATGTTAGTCCCGAAATGACCTAGTTGTGTCGAGTGGACGTTAAACCCCATTCTCTCTCTCTCTCAACATAATGGTTTGAAACGTCTAACGTAAACCTTTTCAAATGAAACTTCGGTTTAAAAATATTTTCGAACCCTCTGGACAAGTAAAATAGGATGTAATGGATAATTTACACAACAGGTAGGACACTTAAACATCTAGTACTTAGATAGAGATATTATTTATTTTCTGGAGCTTTCAAGCCAGCAAGAGTGTTATTGTCCCTTTGAATGTACTTTAAAGAATATTTCTCTTTATTCGCAGAGAAACGATATTGTCCATTATTACAAGAAGAGGGAGGTGTGGAGAAACTACAAGCTCTACTAAAGAACGACACAACGCCAGAAGTACAAAAAATATCAAGGAATATTCTCGAACTTTTACACAAACATGCCAAAAGCCAGTGATATATTGTTTAAAAAAGAATATTATACACCAGTCTGATTTGTTCAGGGCCGATGTTTTCTTTATATGTCAATCTTGTTTTAAAATTGGCCAACTGTGTATGAACAACAGACATACGGCCATATAAAAAATAATATTCTCGTTCTCTGATACTACTACACCACTTAATACTGTCTTTACAACCGTTTTTTTTTAAAATGTAAAAAATATAAACATCTTTGGCTTTGATTACAACTTCCCACTGTTAAGGGAAGTAACTCTGTTAGACATGTCCAGTAGGCTGAATTATCAAGTACACAAACTTGCTAAATGTTTGGTAAATGTTATTGACAATCTTCTTTCATGGATGATAATTCTCCTGCTTACTATATCTAGTAATGAGAAGGGAATTACTCGTATTATACACCATTTTGATGGAAGGAGCAGTATTCACATTAGAAATACAAAATTTGTTCTTTCCTTCTGTAGAGAGAAATATTTACGGGTTTTAAATAGAAACCTATATTTGAAGGATTGTCTGAGAACCAGAATTTTTTTGTATGGCCTAAATTCACTTTGTTAACAGAAGCTTATGTTTAGACACTGGTTAAAAATGTCTACATTAATCTAAATGTTTACCATTTCCTGAAATAAGTTACATTCATAAAGCCATAACTCCGCTGTATTAAACCCCATTTCTGTTGTATTCACCTCCCTCCATTGGATATTTTAGTCTCCTTACTATGTTAAATTCCCAAAAATGAACAAATTTGAAGGTCAAATTCATATCTTCCTGCTTGTCACTATAAGAATGCACCAAGAGTTTTTCAGTAAAGACATTTCTAGAAAGTTAGGAACGACTCTTCTTTAGGAACTAACCATGTTTTTGGAAGAATTTCAAAAATCTAATTCACCAAGTCAATGCAGAATATTTTCCTAAGAACAAACATGCCAATTTTCATGCCGATCGGACTTGAATTGATGGAGTCTTAGGCTTTTTCGAAGAGTGTTACCCCCTCAAGTCTGGTCCCCCCCCCCCAAAATACTCTTTTACTTGTTCAGATATGAAAAATACTGACTGGATTTCAAAGCTGCTTTGCAGTTTGAAATGGAAGTATTTGAATATGTGCAAATACTGGCAAATTTTAGTATCTACTGCTGTTTAATTTATTTGACATAAGAATATAAACTAGAAATCCTAAGGAGTACTGACGTGTTTCGGTATATCAAGTCACGTCACACCATGTCACTTCAACATTCAAGTCACACCATGAATTATTGAGTATAGTAACATCCAATACCTATTAAAGTGAAAAAAAACTGTCATTTTGAACTCTTAATAAAACCAGAAGTTATACCAAACTTTTTTATATTAATTGTTAGTAGACATTAGGATCATCATACATACAAAGGTCATAGAAAGGTTAGGTCACCATCTAGATGGTGAAAAGTCGAACAAACTTCAAAGTGAAATCGGAAGTAAACAAAATCGAAATTCAAAAATCGGCTCCCTAAAGATTGTTGCGATTTGGAATAGGTTCAGTACAAAAAAAAAGTTTTCAAAAATCGGAATTAAAATGGCAGCTGAATATCGATTTGAATGTTTTTTGTAAAATCCATTATGGCGGCCAATCAGTTGAAAATGTTATCTAACAAGGTCTTTGAACATGAAGGATATTATCTGGGGCTAACACCACCATTTATATCATTTTTTGTCTATTTTTAAAATGGAGAGAACTATTCATGTTCAGGAAAAATCGGAAGGCATGGTAATTTCCAGAAGTTTCCAGAAGCCGTCACAAAATTTTTTAATATGCTATTTTGAAGGCAGATGTGTTCCTTATTCCTTATTTCAACTTGATACCTCAAATAGTGATGGAGATACGCCATCTTGAATGTCGAAAAAATGCTGAAGAAAACTTTCGCAAATCTTTGATGCTAATATTAATCAAGCAAACTTCAGAATATCAAAAAAACGTCCATCAGAGCCCATATGGGATTCATCCAAAGAAGATCCGTTAGGAAATAACTTAGATATGGGCAATCTGAGATTATTATTTGTTTCATCCGTAAAACACTTCCTGTTCATCAAAAATGACCCAATTTATATTAAATAAATAGACCCACGGAGGCCAACCACATCTACGTTGGCGGAATGTTTGCATCATGTACAGTTTTGGCTGCACAAAAACAGTCGAGACAGTCGAAACGCATTAATTTATGTTTTTTGTTAATTTGACAGTTAGTGTTATTGTCTTGAAACTTGCTATACTTTCTTTTTCCTGCCATATCAAGCTTTGTTTAAAGTGGCTGTTTTTCTTAATTCACCCTATGATTGCTTCATTATAAGCTCATTTGACTCCTATCTTGTGCTGGAGGCACAGTAACTTAATTAGTAAGATGCTGGATTTCTGTTTTCAGTGTTGACAGAGAAAGTTACTTAGGATTTACCATGTCAGTGGTGCAGGATGGCGAGTCTGGCTAGGAAAAACTTCTAATCATTTGGATGTTGATGTGAATGTAAAATAATTGTTGCCGTCCGAGCAAAATGACCATTCAAAGCACACTGCATGGTATCTACCCCTCTTTATTAGCCACTTTAGTTCATAAAAACCCATTTGTCACCTGTTTATATGGTATCAGTAAGTTTAAAAGTAATGAATGGGCACATTTTATATTTAATGAGTATAGTATGATATAGATTACTTGTAATATCATAACTTTGCAGTAGCTCAGATAAACAGTGCAATAATAACTCAATTGCTAAAATATTGCACAGTTAGGATCCAATGTTAAATATAAGCTATTAGTGGCAGATATTATGATAAGTTATAGTAGAAAGGTTATTTGGAAATAAGAAATCAAAGGATTGTTACTATATAGATAGGTATATTTAATTTGTTATTTTTGATGTAGTTTGTTATTAATAATCTGTTTTGTTATTATTTAAGGTTTTTGTATTCTAAGAAAAATTTATATTTATCTTAAATTTATATGTCAAAGTGCTCTGTTTAATAGTTTAATAATATGAAATATGTTATATAGATATGATAAGTAAATACTGGTACAGCAACAAGAATTTTTATGTACTGGTGACAGTTCCACACAACCATGTTTTTTGTACAGTACATGGTTATTTCATCGGTTAGTGCAGTGTTGACATAAATATGGGTATGGTAGCTCCAATGCAGCTCTTTTACTTACCTGAACTATCACCTTCTCGATTTAAAAAGCATACTATTACAACACAAAAAAGTGAAATCAAAGATTTGATTATTGAGATACATTCATTTCCAAGGATTGAGGAAATCCAAATTCTTTCTTGAAATCTTGAGTTTAGGATGTTACAAATCATTGTTTTCTTGTTAAATTGTCAAATTAATTTAATGTTAAAAACAAATTGGAACTATGACAAATGGCAACTGTTTATTACAATATATCTTATTGAGGTTTTTTCTCTAAAAATAATTATTAACCTATGATTCAATAGATGTGTTTCTGACAATTAGTTAAATGTTTTTTTGGTTTTTTTTACTGGATTGTTATCAAAGTTTCCACTCATCTATAAGAATTATTAGGGTGGGGTAGTGCTAGTAGTGAACACTGTGGTACATGTATGTATACAGTAGCGGTGGTGCTAGGATTTTCACAAATTCTCACCTAAATGCACAATTTGGGGTGTGCGCTTGATAAGAAAGAAACATAAACAACAAAAATAATTGCATCTTGGGGTCGAACTAAAAGGGGGTAAATCAGTTCATGGAATCTTGATATGACTAGCTTGGAATGAATAGTACGTACTTCACTAAATTGCAAATGGTGTTTGTCAGTTAGATGGGGTTGGATGTGTGTGTGAGAGGGGAGGTGTTGGGGGGGGGGGGGCATTTGTTAGACATTACCTTGATGGTCATTAATATATCATATTTTATTTAACTTTTACAACTAACAATTTCATATTACAATCTGCTCACAATTGTGTGTCACTCTTTTCATTCTATCCTTTTCGTACACCAGTTTCTGTTAGAAGGAAAATGAATCATACTAATTTAGAACTCTAGATATAATAATTGAGATACAAGCCATAGAAAATAGATATATATTAATTTTCTTGATAAGGTATTAATACCTCCTAATTATCCCTGCCGAACATTATGGTATTTTATTTTCTGATTTATTAGCTTAATGTTTAACACACAGCAGCTGATTGAGGTAGGCACATGTTGTTGCACAAGCTTTACAGGGATTAGCGACCGTACATTGCCGAGGTACTGTAATAAGAGTATGCATCTTTTGACTAGTCCCATTGATACTCCAAGAAGTTGTTTTTCCTTATGCCTTCCAAACAAGTTCAAGGGCGTGGGATGGAAATGACTTGTCATCTTGTTGAAATTTAAACAATCCTAACAAACATATCAGTATTTCACGTCTAAGAATATGATTGACTTATTCATAAAACCACAACATGATAGAATCAACTTCCTCGATCAAACTTAACTTACAGCCATTTCTGTTGATTTCATATACATAAAGTAATAATAATTGTGCCATCTTTTTCGTACGAGACGGCTCGTGAAGGTTTTATTATACTAGGATGTTCTTACTGTAATAACAGTTTTTACATTAAAATATACTGAGATGCAATGAAAACGCACCACTTTTATGAATGGATGATTGTAATTCTTGTTTGTGAGATATACATTAATCTTGCAATTCTTAATGTAATATCTGATTTCGATGATAACATGTAAGAATGTTTTTATGATGGTGTTAACACACCACACACCAGTCCTCATAGGGTCTGGCGATGAGTCTAATGCTGTGGTTTGTTCTGGCAAGGAATAGGGTTACCTGCCAAACTTCGTGGATTTCCATCCACAGCTTAATACCTGTGACAATATGAATTATTGAAGTAAAATTGTGCAATAATGTTTCGAAATTACCTAGTTTGTGTTGTTGAGTGGACGTTTAACCATATTTCTCTCTCTCCTCGGCACTTTCAGTTTAATCGGCGGTGCGTTTACTTTGGGTCTCAGACTAGTATATTTGAGATAATATGTGCACGATCTGGCATAGAAGGCCTTTTATTTTGAATTTAGAACTATATAATTGGTTATTGATTCAAGACAAATTACTAACTTTTTATTATCTTGGACTGTTTAATACAGTATCATTTATAGACTATAATTAACAGGTTGTTCCCTACACGAATAGATATTATATTAAATGATATTAATAAAAAATTAGATAGACTGAATGAATAAAAGTATTATGGAACTTGCCTAGATTATTTATTGTATATTTAGATAAGTTTAAATAGGCATTTATTATACATGTATTCTATAATGGATTGTAATGTTATGTGTTAAACGGTTTATAAAATATATATTGTTATGTATACCTGTTACACATTGTTGTTTTCGTCCGTTCAGAAAAAAATAGATTTGTTTTATTACATTGAATATAATAAGTGTTGGGTTTTATTTTTTGTTACATTAAACAAGGGTCTATTTCTTGGTGGGTATTTCAATTTGTATCTTGTATGCTAAATTTCTAAATGAACTAAATAATCCAGTTGGGTATAATATGGCAAAAGAAAATCGAACTACCGATTAACAATTCAATGAAAAGTCAATCAGTTGCAGATTCTTTAGATTTTATTAATCATCTAGTATTGAAGTGGAGCTGATCGGTAACCTGGAGGTCCCAGTGTTGGCCCAGAAAGTTCCTTTGAATTTTCCGGGGTGGTTTTCACTTGTCAGTGGTACAAGGAGGGGGCCCGGACAAGGAACAACGTCAGGTATTCGGTGGGACGAAAAAAAACCCGAAGATTTGTGTACACTTTGGCTTGCAGGTAAAAGAGTAGGCCGTAGCAACACTGTTCGGCCAAATTTTCCCTTGTAGCACACCGCATTAGCCCGGGTGGAACAAAAAAGGAGGTTGAACCCAGTTTTGTTAGGTTTTAGCCCCGTCTTCATGTCGTTAAGACGTCAAACCCATTCCATTTTAAAATGTCGGGAAAAGCCAACGTTTTACGCTTCAATTTTATAGAGATGATTTGTATCCGTGTCCGGTAGGATTATATGCTTAATTGTAGTTGGATGTGGCAAAGAAGTTATAAATAACAATAATTAATCGTTGTTTTGATGAAAAAATTAACAGTTTTGCTGTTTGAGTCCCAATGTGATCGCATTGGGGGTTTGCCAGGTAAAACTATAAGAGTACCATCTCTTATGTCGAAACACGGAGGGTTGAGAGATGAGGTTTCTTATCTACATTAGACCGGGTATGTTTAATTAGCTCTATCAGTATCAAATTAACAGATTTTTAAGATTTTACATGCATTATTAATGAAATTAAGTTTGCCACGCGAAACCAAAGGCACCCAATCGTTTTAGCTCGTAGCTAAGGGTTCTATTTTCGGAACCTTGAAATAGATGAAAATGGTTCTAAAAGCACATATTAATATTAAAAGAATGTTTTTAAAGTGATTTATATTCAATTTTTGAAAAAAATATTGTAATTTCTGATCAATTATATTCGTTCAAGTTGAACGGCATCGTTTACGCCGGCTAAGTCCGTTCTACACGTTTTTAGCTCCTTTAACCATGCTGAACCGAAAGTGCAAAACTTTTTATATTAAAATGGCGTCATATAATTATAAACAGACAAATTATAAGCAAGTTCTAAAATTGTCTTCACACAGCTGCTGCTTTTTTCCGCGTATTCTGCATTGCTGAATAATTGAAGTGTGGCTATAACAGCACCGACACATACCGGTGTTTATAAAATGACAGTTACCCCACCGTCGTTAATTTGTTAATTAATGGTTTTGAGTCGTACGTGGCTCAAACTATTTTAACACTAGATACTAAATAATTTTTAAATACTTTTAAGGCCCAAACACTACATTTACAGAGTAGAGCGGAAATACTTTAATAATAAAGGACCCCGAAAATTATGTTCTTTCGGGTAATGTTTTGCCTTTCCGGAATTACAGACTGAAATGGTGAGTGCAGATAGGCAAGAATTTGGAGATGGTTTTATGCGGTTTGATAATTATGTTAAGATTTTTTGCGTCATAAGCAATTAGCTCTATAAACCACAAATTATATCTTGTATCATTACGCGTGCTCAGAAATAACACATATCGGGTATTTATGCTAACTTGCCAGAAAACAGAATTGTGCGTGTTGCGCATTAAATTTGTGTGGATTAAAATTAAACACAATGTGCACATTTTCCTTAAATTTCCCAACAATAGGTGGAGCTGGTCAGAAACAAGAGCGGTACCTTAGTGTAACTGAGCGTCAGTGGAGGTCCGCCTAATATACTATTCAAAAAAAGTAGGGAATATTTGATGTTGGGGGCATAATACTAAAATATGCAAATGACTACGAAAAAAGTCACTATAGAACCTAACAGAAGAAACATTTCCAGTTACATGTGACGCCCAAACGCACCAATAGCTACCGCATGGAATGCAGGTGATGCTTGGGATCATCATGGGGGTCCAACCCAAGATTTGCACGACTCTGACTTTGAATGTTACAGTCATTGTGGCATTGAATTCCAGGGTGGAAACATCAGTTTAATTGTTTTAGTGACCAGAAAACAAATTTTGATATGCGTCGGCTTACCCAAAATGAAAGGTTACGTGCCCTTGGCATGCTACAGATCGGCACAACACAGGCGGTTGTGGCGCGGACGATGAATGTTTCTCAGTCTGTCATAAGCAGGCTATGGTCCAGATACCGTGATACACAATCTGTACAGGACAGACCACGCTCAGGTCGACCAAGGGCGACAACTCAAGCCCAGGATCGATTTATCCGTACCTTGGCCTTGAGAAATCGTGTCATCACAGCAAATCAGATCAGCGCTCGTCTTCAAACAGACACTGGTGTGAGAGTGAGTGGCCAGACGATTCGGAATCGACTGCATAGGGGTCACCTTCGCGCCCGACGTCCTCGCGTGATCCCTTGTTTGAGAGATCATCACATTCAGGCAAGACGTCGTTGGTGTAGGGATCGTCAACACTAAGATAATCGACGCTGGAGCAATGTGATGTTTTCAGATGAGTCAAGGTTCACTGTTGATTTTTTGGACAGACGTAGGAGGGTGTGGCGTCGTCGAAACGAGCGCTTCCAAGACGTTAACGTCATCAGACATGATCGATTTGGGGGTGGTTCTGTTATGGTGTGGGGAGGCATCACTGTTGCTGGAAGAACGGCTTTACATGTTGTTGCAGGGCGTGTTACAGGCCAGTACTACCGGGACAACATCTTGGCAGTCCATGTTGTGCCCTTCGCACGACGTCATGGCCGCCGTTTCATCTTCCAGGATGACAACGCAAGATGTCACAGGGCCAGGATCGTTACAGGTTACCTCCAACAACAGAACATCACCACATTACCTTGGCCAGCACTGAGTCCCGACCTCTCCCCCATCGAGCATGTCTGGGACATGCTTGGACAGAGGTTACGTCAACGTCAACAACGTCCTGCCAATGTCCAAGAACTTGCTGCTGCGTTGCAACAGGAATGGGACAATCTGGACCAAAATGACCTTAGACTTCTCATTAGGAGTATGCCACGTCGGATCAATGCTTGTTTGGCAAACAGAGGAGGATTTACCCGTTACTGACTTGGTTGTGATGCTGTGGTAACTTTGCTGTTTGACCCCGGGTATCATTTTACCCTTATAATGGCCAGTCTGTGCCTTACTTAGTCTAACGATCATTTGGAATAAATCGATGAATGTGAACTTCATTTCATTTTGTCATTTGTTTCTTCGTCAGTTTCATTAGGTGACTTTAATAACACTTAAAAATCAAATATCCCCTACTTTTTTTTAATAGTATAATATGATGATCACTCTTAACCATTTTCCCTAATTGTCGTACGCTATTAGCAGGAGTTTGCTGACAGTCAGGCAGACAACTAAAGACGATTAGAGACGAGCGGAGACGGAGAGACCGGCGTATGGACTCACCCGAGTTCAGCCGCTGCCTTGGCAGAGGGGCAGAATGGTGGATTTAATATAGGTGTTCCTGTATATTAGTTTAAGTTCCTGTATTGTTGTATGTATGTAACTGTAGCTGTTTTATATACCTGGTGTAAATAAATCATATATTTACCAAACTGATCTCTGTTATCACTAAGATAGTGTGACACCTACTTTTCTGCTCCGACTGGGCAATATATCAATTTGAACTATGTTTTAATTCTTTGTAAACTTACGAGTTTTCATAGATTAACTTTCTTACATGTCATCCTTCATTAAACAAAATTTATGCAAAGACGGGATGACATAATGCCGGGTCGGAAATATTCGATTATTGCTGTAAAAGTTGTACAATACAACTGGTATAATCGCTTTTGTCAGATAGGTTATTGATAAATCATCCTGTCGCGAGCTGTGTCCTTGTGGCAGTTTCGATTTAACGGTCTATTGATCCTGTCACTCAAAAGCTGGATTCAAATCCAGAATATCATGATATGTAAGTTCCTTGCCACCTTGCCGGTTACTGTAATTCGACTCAAGGCAAATAGTGACTACGATAATGAGATTTTCCTCGAACAATTGACGGGTTTAAATCCTGGTATTAAATCTGACTAGATCGTTCCCTATCTTGTGGTTAAGGACTATCTTTTATTTTTGATTCGTATTACCAGTTCCACGGAATAAAATCACACAATCTCCAAAATGGTTTAAAATCCATTTATATAATTTAGGCACGTACAATTATACAAAAGGTTGGTACAGTCTCACACACATGACAAATCTATAAAAAATAAAATACTTAAAATTTCGTACGTGCACTGCTTAATTAGCCATGTCAGATTAATTTTATTTCAAGTATTATCCTATGCTCACTCGGCAAACCTCGGCAGATTCCGTTACTCTACATCTAGCCTTGGCTGTATGACGGTAAGTGATATGTACCTACGCCTATACAATTGCGATGCAGCACCGGTTTACTTATTAGGGAAACTTGCCGCTTTTAAAAAGAAGTGTGTAGAATTTTCAGTGCAAAGTTGTCCTTGTTTGAAGAAAATCGGATAAACCTGAAAGAAAAATAGCTGCAGACTTTGAAATATTTGTATGATAAAACATTCTTCAAAGGCGTCGTCATGGGCAACGCCGTTGGTAATCCGGGAACTTGAAAGTAGTTCCAATGGCGGACTTCGTCATACAGCCGAGGCTAGATGTTTGGTACTGGAATCTACTGAGGTTTGCCGAGTCATCCTATGCAAAAGCAAAACTCATATACCGAGACCATTTAAACCTTTCTGTCAATTTGGTAATAAATGACGGGTCAGTACAGAACAAGTCAGTGTAGAAGACAAATTGGTTATAAAACCACCGAAATTAATGGCACAATTTCTGTACACATCACATAAGTTACACGCGTGTATCATTAGACAAATAGAATGTGTCAATTGAGTGATCCCGTAAATGTAGAGTAGTTTATCATTATA